AATAAAAGATGTATGTGGAATAAAATAATAAAATCATTCTTTCTTTCAGTTGGTTAAGTACTAAATGTGTAAATATATAAAAGCCATTGTCCAGGGAACGTAACAAATTACTAACTCTCTCTCCCTCTCTCTCTCTCTCTCTCTCTCTCTCTCTCTCTCTCTCTCTCTCTTTTAAGCATGTTATTACATTCCGGAACAGGCGTGGGAAAGGGAACGAACAGGCGTTGTTTGGATCCCAACACATTGATCCTGGTCTTGTGACTCTTAGTCAATGTAGTTTATTTTCTGTTTAACAAAAAAAATTCCAAGGAAAGCAGTTTCAGAACGAATTTATTAAGGTCGTTTTTATGTCTGACATTTTCATTATCTTATTCCGAATTTACTCACAAAGGTCTACAATTTCTGAAGTTAATAATTGTTTTATGTTTCACAAGCACCTAGGGAACCAAAGAACTAACCCTGTTCCTCTCATGCTTTCCATTGGTTCCTTGCACTGGAGGCCCAGGGGTGTTTACAAGGGGTAACTCCAAGAACACGTCGTTCAGTTCTTCACGTTTCCCGTGGTGTAGACGCTTCTTCGTAGCAATCCCGAAGTCCTTCATGACTAACATATTATGCGCGAATGGACTTTGTGCGAACGTGTTTAAGTGCGAATGATTCTGGACGAACTAGAAAACGAGCGAACGACATCAAAGTCGAACGCGTTTCATGGCGAACGAACATATATGTACAACTCATAGCAATCCTCGTTGAAATGGTCCTGCAGATAACTGTGTATTTTGAGGGACCAGACCACAGGTGCTTGAGGACAGGAACGACACCTCCCCTTCAATATAGACCCCTGGGTTTTTTTCACTTTTTTCTCAGATATTATTTTTCATGGAAATATTTGTGATAAGATCTATACCAACAAATCAAAAAATTACCTAAAACGAACGTTCTATAAAATGTACCCTAACTTTCTATACATTTATATTTAAAGAATTGGTTAAAATGTTTTATAAAATGTTAGTTTAAGCAAATTCTATGAATTGATAGAACATATTTTATCGCAAAAGTGTCATCCATATATAATGTATGTGAAAAAAGTCTATCAGGCCCGGGGGTCTATATAAGGGGGTTGTCCTGCTCTCAAGCACATGTGGACCAGACCAGTCTGCCCTCATCAGCTACACAAAACAACATCAGGGCGCTCACAGTCGCTCATCTTTGTGAAAAACATAATTCGACACGCCATCTTACTGTTGCTACATCCTTCCAAAACACACATGCGTCCGACACTTTTCCTGGCCATTAACCCTTGGAAAATACAAACTCACTCGGAGACTTTCCAAAAATGGCGTAAACTGATATGTTGTGACGTCACGTCTAGATCTGCTTTGGCTTGGAATAACCGCTTTGTCGGTAACGTCAATTTGTATATTTATAAATTTTTCAGATATTTGTGCAATGGATTATCTTTTTCTCTTATTTCAATGGCTACCTACATTTCTGGATTATCCTTACCTCTGATTTTAATTGCTACAGACTTCTTTTCTGGATTATAATTACGTCTGATTATAATGGCTACAGACTTTTCTGGATTATCCTTACCTCAAATTTTAATGGCTACATAAATATCTGGGTTATCCTTACCTCAAATTTTAATGGCTACAGACTTTTCTGGATTATCCTTATCCCTAATTTTAATGGCTACAGACTTTTTCTGGGTTATCGTTACCTCTAATTTTAATGGCTACATACTTTTCTGGATTATCCTTACCTCTAATTTTAATGGCTACAGACTTTTTCTGGGTTATCCTTACCTCTAATTTTAATGGCTACAGACTTTTCTGGATTATTCTTACCTCTATTTTTGATGGCTACAAACTTTTCTGAATTATTCTTACATCTAATTTTAATGGCTACAGACTTTTCTGGATTATTCTTACCTCTGATTTTAATGGCTACAGACTATTTCTGAATTATCCTTACCTTTGATATAAATGGCTACAGACTTTTCATGGATTATCCTTACCTCTAATTTTAATGGCTACAGACTTGTTCTGGCTTTTCTTACCTCTAATTTTAATGGCTACCAACATTCCTGGATTATCCTGACCTCTAATTTTTATTGCTACTTACATTTCTGGATTATCCTTACCTCTAATTTTAATGGCTACCTACATTTCTGGATTATCCTTACCTCTAATTTTAATGGCTACAGACTTGTTCTGGATTATCCTAACCTCTGATTTTAATGGCTGCCTACATTTCTGGATTATCCTTACCTCTAATTTTAATGGCTACAGACTTTTCTGGATTATCCTTACCCCTTATTTTAATGGCTACAGACTTTTTCTGGGTTATCCTTACCTCTAATTTTAATGGCTACAGACTTTTCTGGATTATCCTTATCCCTAATTTTAATGGCTACAGACTTTTTCTGGGTTATCCTTACCTCTAATTTTAATGGCTACATACTTTTCTGGATTATCCTTACCCTAATTTTAATGGCTACACACTTTTTCTGGGTTATCCTTACCTCTAATTTTAATGGCTACAGACTTTTCTGGGTTATCCTTACCTCTAATTTTAATGGCTACAGACTTTTCTGGATTATTCTTTCATCTAATTTTAATGGCTACAGACTTTTCTTGATTATCCTTACCTCTGATTTTAATGGCTACAGACTTGTTCTGGATTATCCTTACCTTTGATATAAATGGATACAGACTTTTCATGGATTATCCTTACCTCTAATTTTAATGGCTACAGACTTGTTCTATATTATCTTTACCTCTAATTTTAATGGCTACCAACATTTCTGGATTATCCTGACCTCTAATTTTTATTGCTACCTACATTTCTGGATTATCCTTACCTCTAATTTTAATGGCTACCTTCATTTCTGGATTATCCTTACCTCTAATTTTAATGGCTACAGACTTGTTCTGGATAATCCTTACCTCTAATTTTAATGGCTACCTACATTTCTGGATTATCCTTACCTCTAATTTTAATGGCTACAGACTTTTCTGGATTATCCTTACCTCTAATTTTAATAGCTACAGACTTTTCTGGATTATTCTTACATCTTATTTATATGGCTACAGACTTTTCTGGATTATCCTTACCTCTGATTTTAATGGCTACAGACTTGTTCTGGATTATCCTTACCTTTGATATAAATGGCTACAGACTTTTCATGGATTATCCTTACCTCTAATTTTAATGGCTACAGACTTGTTCTATATTATCCTTACCTCTAATTTTAATGGCTACCAACATTTCTGGATTATCCTGACTTCTAATTTTTATTGCTACCTACATTTCTGGATTATCCTTACCTCTAATTTTAATGGCTACCTACATTTCTGGATTATCCTTACCTCTAATTTTAATGGCTACAGACTTGTTCTGGATAATCCTTACCTCTAATTTTAATGGCTACCCACATTTCTGGATTATCCTTACCTCTAATTTTAATGGCTAAAGACTTTTCTGGATTATCCTTACCCCTAATTTTAATGGCTACAGACTTTTTCTGGGTTACCCTTACCTCTAATTTTAATGGCTACAGACTTTTCTGGATTATTCTTACCTCTATCTTTGATGGCTACAGACTTTTCTGGATTATTCTTACATCAAATTTAAATGGCCACAGACTTTTCTGGATTATCCTTACTTCTGATTTTATTGGCTACAGACTATTTCTGAATTATCCTTACCTCTGATTTAAATAGCTACAGACTTTTCACGGATTATCCTCACCTCTAATTTTAATGGCTACAGACTTGTTCTGGATTATCCTTACCTCTAATTTTAATGGCTACAGACTTGTTCTGGATTATCCTTATCTCTAATTTTAATGGCTACAGACTTGTTCTGGATTATCCTTACCTCTAATTTTAATGGCTACCAACATTTCTGGATTATCCTTACCTCTAATTTTTATTGCTACCTACATTTCTGGGTTATCCTTACCTCTAATTTTAATGGCTACCTACATTTCTGGATTATACTTACCTCTAATTTTAATGGCTTCCTACATTTCTGGATTACTGTAAACGTATTACATTTGGCGGTGTATTCTTTTTAACGTTTTTGGCGGAAAGAAACTTCCGCTAATTCAAGTACAACGCTAAATGTCTAACACATATAGACATTAATAAGAACATTAAGAAATGCGCTAAATCAAATCGACGCTAACTTGTTCAAAAATCATTTTCCGCCAAATATCGTACACGCTAAATATAATACATTTACAGTATCCTTTCCTCTAATTTTAATGGCAAAAGACTTGTTTTGGATTATCCTTACCTCTAATTTTAATGGCTACCTACATTTCTGGATTATCTTTACCTCTAATTTTAATGCCTATAGACTTTTTTTGATGATCCTTACCTCTGATTTTAATGGCTACAGATTTGTTCTGGATTATCCTTTCCTCTGATTTTAATGGCTACAGACTATTTTTGAATTATCCTTACCTCTGATTTAAATGGCTACAGACTTTTCATGGATTATCCTTACCTCTTATTTTAATGGCTACAGACTTGTTCTGGATTATCCTTACCTCTAATTTTAATGGCTAGAGACTTGTTCTGGATTATCCTTACCTCTAATTTTAATGGCTACCAACATTTCTGGATTATCCTGACCTCTAATTTTTATTGCTACCCACATTTCTGGATTATCCTTACCTCTAATTTTAATGGCTACCTATATTTCTGGATTATCCTTACCTCTAATTTTAATGGCTACCTACAGTTTTGGATTATCCTTACCTCTAATTTTTATGGCTACAGACTTGTTCTGGATTATCCTTACCTCTAATTTTAATGGCTACCTACATTTCTGGATTATCCTTACCTCTAATTTTAATGGCTACCTACATTTCTGGATTATCCTTACCTCTAATTTTAATGCCTATAGACTTTTTTTGATGATCCTTACCTCTGATTTTAATTGCTACAGACTTTTTCTGGATTATCCTTACCCCTAATTTTAATAGCTACAGACTTTTTCGGATGATCCTTACCTCTGATTTTAATGGCTACAGACTTTTTCTGGATTATCCTTACCCCTTATTTTAATGGCTACAGACTTTTCTGGATTATCCTTACCCCTAATCATAATGGCTACAGACTTTTTAGCTACTAGTTTATCCCTGTACCATTTTCCTCCGTATTTCACTTGTTCTAACACTTCACAGGTCAAGTTCCCCGCATCTGCCTTCTGTACGTCTTAAATAAATCAAAAGAACAGAGGATGTTTGTTACATGAATTACGCATATCAAGGTCAGGATCTAGTAAGAGCTATGCAACTGCATTAATATTTTTTTACTTTAACCTTTTCTTTGACTTTGACCCCACTTTTAACTACATAATACAAAACATATTTACAAAACTTAGCATTCTGATACGTATTTGTAAGAACTATTCAAATACATCAAGAACGTTCCGGAGCATTCATGTCTTATGAACATATTTGTAGTTTAAACTGTCAATGAAAAATGAAAAAAAAATCAACGAAAAGTTAAGAAAAAAGTCATGAATATGCTTTTACCTTAGCCATAAATTTTGAATAGTTGGTGCTAGGGCTTTTATATTTCACAGGTGCATTTCTTGTGATAAAACTTTTATTGGTTATAAAAATATTTTACCCATTAACCCAAACCTTACAGTTTGGCCCATATTCAATTTAAAACAAATTTAACCTTGACCATGTCTTTTGAACCGTTAGAAGTAGAACTTTCATATCTCATATGTCTATTTCTGGCGACAAGACCTTTTTTGATACCAACAATTTAGAGTTTGACTCACTTAAATATCTTTATCCTTGACTTTTGAACCGTTAGTACTAGTTTTGATATTTGATTATCACAACTTGATACAAATTATTTCTTAAGGTAGGATTCTTCTCACACGAAACTGTATTTCTTGTATTTAAAAATCAATGAAATTTTTACAAAATCAAGAAATTTGTGACGCCAGAATCCAAAAAGTTAAAATGGGAGATTTATTAATAAATGAACCTTTTACAGAAAAACAAGGGAATATTTCCTTCGGAATACATCAATTTTCACAAAGGACACCAAAATAATTTACTTTCAATATAAAAATCTTATGGGCTTCGTTTCCACAAATTCTTTTCTTCACAAGACAAAAATTGCTGAAAATATTTTTTGGTATTTCTCTAAAATAGATCCAGGAATATTGATTTATGTTTTTTATGATTGTATTCATGTTACCATATTTTGGAGAGATTTTGAAAATTGGTTTCAAGCTATTGAAAATGATTATGTAATTTAAAAAAAAGTGATGCTGGATAATATTGAAGGAAGTTATTTAGAAAATTTGATCATCTTCTTTGGAAAAAAGTACTTGTATTACTCAAGAACTCAATGTACAATACCTAAATTTACAGACGTAATTAACATTGTTAAGTATTACAGGAAAATTGAAAATTGAAAGCAATTTTCATTGTAAAACTAAAATGTATAGTAAATGGGCAATGTTTGATTTGATTTGTTATAAATAAAAAATTCTAATTATCACTTTAGATGTAATTATGAACAGCTGGCATTTTGGGAAAGGTGCACAGAGTGCATGTGGTGTGTTACGTGTGTTAGGGTGTGTTCGTCTATGTATGTTTTGTGTTTTTTTGTTCTTTTGTATGTTTTTTTTTTAAATCATAATAAAAAGAAAGGTCTTGTCACAGGTAATATACATTTGTAATATGAAGACCCTATCCCTTCTCATTCAAAAGATATGACCAATGTTAAAGTTTTTGTGACGGACGGACAGAACTACAGACTAACAGTTAGAGGGTTCTTCTCTGGTGTCTGACAAGATGAAATATTCAATGTATATTTGCTTATATATCTCTAATATTTAGATGTCTGAGATTTAAAAGATCAATTTTTTCCTCATCACAATTGTACATCCTCAAATAGATATGTTAAACTACGACCTTGACCTTTGACTTTAAAATAAATAGGGGTCTTTTTTTAAGCCAAAGGGAGTAGTGATATGAAATATCATTGCAAAATCTCAAAGGTATCGAATGGAAACGAAAGTATTAAAACATATATATCTCAAAAGTTTGTTTTATTTATGACCTTGAACTTTTGACGTCAAAATCAATAGGGATCCTCCTTAGGCCATGGAGATTATTGCGTAAAATTTCATTACAAAAGCTCAAAGCTTTCGCGATATCGCTTGGAAAAGCGTTACGAACAGACAGAACTACGGACGGAAGGCCAGCTGGACGGACAGACAGACAGAAATTATTATGTTAATACCTCATTATAATTATTCTACATAATGTGTTTACTTATTTGAGTGAAAATAGATTATCACGTGACCGGACTATTAAACTTCATATTTCTCGGTCCTTAGCATGCTTTTCATCATATTCCACCACTTCGGAAACCTAGTGCATTTTCCCGCAACATAGTTAATATGATATCGTTGGAAGAAAACGCTCGAGAGTAGTAGACGTACGCGTCAAGATAGTCTGGTTTACGTCAAAAATCTGCTTTTTAGTGATGTGTCAAAAGGTTACAGAAACTTTACATTAAAAATGAGAGTGAATTTGAGAACAGTGACGAATTTGAAGTTTATGTTTATTTAAAATTTATTATTATTAATTTACTTATTTCGGTATAATAAACAATTCATTGCATGAATGTTCGGGAAACATAAAATTTTATTCAGCCAAGAAATATCTCATCCTCTCGGATGTAGCCCTCGGGGAATAAGATTTTTCTTGGCTGAATAAATCCTCATAGCTCCATCACTGTAATGCAATAAATGTATAACGTTCCCCCACTTTCAGCGGGGGATACTGACATTAAAGCAAGTTTGTCTTTGTAAGGCAGATCGACTTCAATTCCAAGACATTTAATTTCATTCATAAACAAGTAATTACCGAAATTTCACAATTTTGGGGACACTTTTTTATATAGAGGCCTAAAGAGATAAGGGGACCCCGCTAGCGACTTGTACCTTCTTATGCAATACTCTCAGAATGCATGTTCCTAATGTTGAGGGAAAATAAATGACTTTGAAATGACCTTGATTCCAATACAGAACGATCAAACTTAATTTCAGTAAAAATAATAAATACCGTCTCTCGGCCATGTTGTCTTCTTGAATAAAATAAATACAAGAAACATAAGAGGAATCCCTCTTTTATTATTCAATCATTTTCGCGGAAGTACTTACTTCTTACGGTGAATTCTAAGCTGATGTTGTTTGCCTGAGGGGAGAGCACACTACAGGCATACTTGTCTGACATGGAGGCCTCTTCAAATTCACAGACTGGCTGACTGGTCAGCTGGCGGCCATTGTGGTACCACCTGACCTTGAGTTTACTGATAATGTCCAGGGCAGACAGTCCGGGTATGTTACACAGGGCCTTCAGATTCTCTCCCTTGTTAAGTATGGCTGATGCAGGTGAAATAGTCACTGTATACTCTTCAGCCTGAGCCATCCCTATACATAACATGATTATTACAAGTATGAAGTAATGATTGCTGGGTGATGAAGAAATTGCCACGGTTACAGGCTTCTGAAATTAAGATAACATCATTACATGTAGCAGTATCTCCAACGTGACTTCTGTGTCAATTAAAGAAAATCACAGAAATGTGCAATTTACGGCGCATGATTTTTTGCGTTTTGTTTGGGAGAATTTCTCCACTTTCCAACTTCGGTTAATCATCTACCTCTCATCCCCTAATTCCAAACACATTCTTAAACCAATTTGTATATTTCATCCATTTCTCAAACCTTAATAGTCGCCTCTGCAGGCGATAAACTGGCTTGATTTGAATTGTTTGAGAGATTGCAGAAATTTCCAATTCAAGCAAGTTTATTGCTTGAAGAGATGACTTTTAAAGGGTTGGATGTGGATGAAATATACAGATTTATTTAAAAATTATGTCATAATTGATGAAAGGAAAGGTAGATGTTTTGCAGTGTTTAGCTCAGCTTAAAGCTCAAGTGAGCCTTCTGATCACCCGTTGTCCGTCATCCGTCCGTCCGTCTGTATACTGTTCACATTTTCAACTTCTCCTCAAGAACCACTGGGCCAATTTTAACCAAACTTTGTAAAAAGCATACTTTGGTAAAGGAAAATTTAAATTGTAAATATAAAGGGCCAAGTCTCCTTCCAAGGGGAGATAATCAAGGAAAAACAAAAAAATAGTGAAGTCATTAAAAATCTTTTTCTCAAGAACTATTCAGCCAGAAAAGATGAAACTTATGTAAGCATCCTGGGGTAATGAAAATTCTGAATTGTTCAAATTATGACCCCCAGTGGTAGGGCAGGGTCAAAATAGGGAATCCAAGTTTAACAATGAAATGTAGTGGGGGGAAACTTAAAAAATCTTCCTATCAAGAACCCCTGGGCCAAAAAAGCTAAGCTTTATGTGGAAGATCATTGGGTAGTGTAGATTCAATTGAACAAATCATGACCACCTCTGGTAGGGCGGGGTCACAATAGGGAATTCCAGTTTTACATAGAAATAGAGGTAAAAAACCTTTTAAAATCTTCTCAAGAACCACTGGACCAGACACTACTGTAACTAAAAAGCACAGAGAATCAAACAAAACCCTGAAAAATACTGAGTGGTACTGGGGAAACCCTGAATTGTACTGAGTCCGGTACTGAGTTAACAAAGGTAGTCCTGGGTAGCACTGAGGTTTTCACTGTGTACACTGAGGATATACTGAGAGGCACTGAGGTTGACTTTGTTGGTACTGAGGAGGTGCTGAGGTGGCTCTGAGGCCACTGATCTGATACTGAGGAGGCTCTGTGGCCACTAAGCTGATACTAACAGTATTGAGAATTAAGTGATCCAACCACATTTAGATTTTGCTTTTCTATAAAGAAATCAGAATTTGTTAATACATTGTTCGAATTTCGTAAGATTAATTATAAATGCTTTGTCCTTCGTTTAATTTAATGAATGAAATCATGTAACTGACAAAAATCTATTGAATTCACTTTTAAAGGATTAATTTAAAGCAGATTTGAATATCTATTCTTCAGAATATTCAGCAATATCAGAATATTATGATGTGGAAAAAAATGGAGTGAATCCTTTAAAATAAAAATATTATGGATTATCCTTACCTCTAATTTTAATGGCTACCTACATTTCTGGATTATCCTTACCTCTAATTTTAATGCCTATAGACTTTTTTTGATGATCCTTACCTCTGATTTTAATGGCTACAGACTTTTTCTGGATTATCCTTACCCCTTATTTTAATGGCTACAGACTTTTTAGGATGATCCTTACCTCTGATTTTAATGGCTACAGACTTTTCTTGGATTATCCTTACCCCTAATTTTAATGGCTACAGACCTTTCTGGATTATCCTTACCCCTAATTTTAATGGCTACAGACTTTCTAGCTACTAGTTCATCCCTGTACCATTTTCCTCCGTATTTCACTTGTTCTAACACTTCACAGGTCAAGTTCCCCGCATCTGCCTTCTGTACGTCTTAAATAAATCGAAAGAACAGAGGATGTTTGTTACATGAATTACGCATATCAAGGTCAGGATCTAGTAAGAGCTATGCAACTGCATTAATATTTTTTTTACTTTAACCTTTCCTTTGACTTTGACCCCACTTTTAACTACATAATACAAAACATATTTACAAAACCTAGCATTCTGATACGTATTTGTAAGAACTATTCAAATACATCAAGAACGTTCCGGAGCATTCATGTCTTATGAACATATTTGTAGTTTAAACTGTCAATGAAAAATGAAAAAAATCAATGAAAAGTTAAGAAAAAAGTCATGAATATGCATTTACCTTAGCCATAAATTTTGAATAGTTGGTGCTAGGGCTTTTATATTTCACAGGTGCATTTCTTGCGACAAAACTTTTATTGGTTATAAAAATATTTTACCCATTAACCCAAACCTTACAGTTTGGCCCATATTCAATTTAAAACAAATTTAACCTTGACCATGTCTTTTGAACCGTTAGAAGTAGGACTTTCATATCTCATATGTCTATTTCTGGCGACAAGACCTTTTTTGATACCAACAATTTTGAACTTTTGACCTTTGCTTTAGAGTTTGACTCACTTAAATATCTTTATCCTTGACTTTTGAACCGTTAGTACTAGTTTTGATATTTGATTATCACAACTTGATACAAATTATTTCTTAAGGTAGGATTCTTCTCACACGAAACTGTATTTCTTGTATTTAAAAATTAATGAAATTTTTACAGAATCAAAAAAATTTGTGACGCCAGAATCCAAAAAGTTAAAATGGGAGATTTATTAATAAATGAACCTATTACAGAAAAACAAGGGAATATTTCCTTCGGAATACATCAATTTTCACAAAGGACACCAAAATAATTTACTTTCAATATAAAAATCTTATGGGCTTCGTTTCCACAAATTCTTTTCTTCACAAGACAAAAATTGCTGAAAATATTTTTTTGGTATTTCTCTAAAATAGACCCAGGAATATTGATTTATGTTTTTTATGATTGTATTCATGTTACCATATTTTGGAGAGATTTTGAAAATTGGTTTCAAGCTATTGAAAATTATTATATTATTTCAAAACAAAAGGTGATGCTTGGTAATATTGAAGGAAGTTATGTAGAAGATTTGCTCATCTTGTTAGGAAAAGTACTTGTATTACTCAAGAACTCAAAACATGCAATACCTAGATTTACAGAAGCAATTAACATTGTTAAGTATTACAGGAAAATTAAAAAAAAAATTGAAAGCAATTTTCATTGTAAAACTAAATTGTATAGTAAATGGGCGATGTTTGATTTGATTTGCTATACATAAAAAATTCTAATTATCTCTAATTAGATGTAATTATGAACAGCTGGCATTTTGGGAAAGGTGCACAGAGTGCATGTGGTGTGTTACGTGTGTTAGGGTGTGTTCGTCTATGTATGTTTTGTGTTTTTTTTTTTGTTCTTTTGTATGTTTTTTTTTTTAAATCATAATAAAAAGAAAGGTCTTGTCACAGGTAATATACATTTGTAATATGAAGACGGACGGACAGAACTACAGACTAGAGGGTTCTTCTCTGGTGTCTGACTAGATGAAATATTCATCAATATTTGCTTATATATCTCTAATATATTTAGATGTCAGAGATTTAAAAGATAAATTTTTTCCTCATCGCAATTGTACATCCTCAAATAGATATGTTAAACTACGACCTTGACCTTTGACCTTAATATAAATATAGCAGCTGGGACTGCTGGGACCGCTCTGGGACTGCTGTGGGACTGCTCTGGGACCGCTGTGGGACTGCTCTGGTACTGCTGTGGGACTGCTTTAGCAGTCCCAGAAAGCAGTCCCCGGGACTGCTCTGGGACTGCTTTGTGTCAGGTTGGGTCTGGTCGGTACTGTAGGGGTCTTTTTTAAGCCAAAGGGAGTTGTGATATGAAATATCATTGCAAAATCTCAAAGGTATCGGATGGAAACCAAAGTATTAAAACATATATATCTTAAAAGTTTTTTTAATTTATGACCTTGAACTTTTGACGTCAAAATCAATAGGGATCCTCCTTAGGCCATGGGGATTATTGTGTAAAATTTCATTACAAAAGCTCAAAGCTTTCGCGATATCGCTTGGAAAAGCGTTACAAACAGACAGAACTACGGACGGAAGGCCAGCTGGACGGACAGACAGACAGAAATTATCATATTAATACCTCATTATAATTATTCTACATAATGTGTTTACTTATTTGAGTGGTTATAGATTATCACGTGACCGGGCTATTAAACTTCATATTTCTCGGTCCTTAGCATGCTTTTCATCATATTCCACCACTTCGGAAACCTAGTGCATTTTCCCGCAACATAGTTAATATGATATCGTTGGAAGAAAACACCCGAGAGTAGTAGACGTACGCGTCACGATAGTCTGGTTTACGTCACAAAACTGCTTTTTAGTGATGTGTCAAAAGGTTACAGTAACTTTACATTAAAAATGAGAGTCAATTTGAGAGCGTTTATGTTTAAGTCTAAGTTTATGTTTACTGTATAGGGGGAAAATAACTCGCGGTGTTAATATTCGCTATATTCACGGTGTTAATAAATCCGTGAATTCAAGAAACGGTGAATAATTTTTCAATAATTTTCCATCTTTTATTTTGAAATCTGAGAATAGACTACGATAAGTTTATATACATAAACGTGCTCCAGTACATCGTAATTTCAGTAATAACGAGTAGTACCATATATTAATCATTTTAATTATAACGCTTCGAAATTAATTCATTTGATTCAAATTAATCGGAAGATAACCTGTATTTGTTAAAAAATGCTGTTATAATGGCCAACGCTACAAGTTGCTACAATCAAAACAAGTGGGCCATGGGTTTTGATTACCCGTGCGTAACTAATGTTACCACGTGTATTTGTTACCTGCATTAACGTGCATATTAGTTTTTATCGACATTTTGGTATTATATCATTAAAATAACTATCGAACTTAATAAGATGTGGAAGGATATTTTTTCGTCGTCCTTCTTTAACACATTTATTACCGTCCAGTGGTTTTTCTCCACGCTGTATCGAAGATCTTGTGGTGTACATGCACTTATCGTAAAAACATATAGGAAAGTAATTTGACGTTATTAGTGAAGGACTTTTGATTACTGCATTTGTTTTAATTAATTGTCAATTATTTATATAAATAAAATTATTTTGTATTAATCTATCCTGTTGTTCGCGAGATAAAGACATAACGCTGAGTAAGCGGATATATACAAGGGAGGTAACTTTTATTATATACAAAATCCGCGAATTCAAGAAACCGCGATCGTGTCAGATAAGAGAAAAACGTGAAAATTACAACCCGTGATATTATTCCCCTGTACAGTATTTAAAACCTATAATTAATAATTTACTTATTTCGGTATAATAAACAATCATTGCATGAATGTTCAGGAAACATAAAATTTTATTCAGCCAAGAAATATCACATCCTCTCGGGTGTAGCCCTCGGGGAATAAGATTTTTCTTGGCTGAATAAATCCTCATAGTTCCATCACTGTCATGCAGTAAATGTATAATGTTCCCCCAGTTTCAGCGGGGGACAATGACATTCAAACAAGTTTGCCTTTGTAAAACAGATCGACTTAAATTCCAAGACATTTAATTTCATTCATAAACAAGTAACTACCGAAATTACAAAAGTTTGGGGATACTTTTTCATAAAGAGAAAAGGGACTTGTACCTGCTTATGCAATACTCTCAGAATGCTTGTTCCTAATGTTGAGGGAAAAGAAAATAACTTTGAACTGACTTTGATCCTAGTACAGAACGATCAAATTTAATATTAGTTAAAATACTGTAATAAATACCCTCACTCGGTCATTTTGTCATCTTGAATCAACGAAAATAAAAGATGCATTTATAAAGAGGAATCCCTCTTTTAGTATTCATTTATTTTCGTAAAACTACTTACTTCTTACTGTGAGTACTAAGCTGATGTTGTTTGCCTGAGGGGAGAGCACACTACAGGCATACTTGTTTGTCATGGAGGGCTCCTCGAATTCACATAGATTGGTCAGCTGGCGCCCATTGTGGTACCACCTGACCCGGAGTTTACTGATAATGTCCAGGAATGACAGCTTGGGTATGTTACACAATGCCGTTAAGTTCTCTCCCTTGTTTAACATGGCTGATGCAGGTGAAATAAACACTGTATACTCCTGAGCCTGAACCATCCCTATACATAACATGATTATTACAATTATGGAGTAATGATTTCTGGGTGAGGAAGAAAATGCCACGGTGGCAGGCTTCTGAAATTAATATTTATAACATCATTACATGTAGCAGTATCTCTAAATGACTTTGACCTTTCTGTGTTAATTAAAGAAAATCACAGAAAATGTGCAATTTACGCCACATAATTTTTTGCGTTTTGTTTGGGAGAATTTCTCCACCTTCTAACTTTGGTAAATCATCTACCTTTCATCCCCTAATTCCAAACACATTCTTAAACTAATTGTATATTTTTATCTATTTCTCAAACCTTTATAGTCGCCTCTACAGGCGATAAACGGACTTGATTTGAATTGTCTGAGGGATTGCAGAAAATTCTAATTCAAGCAAGTTTATTGTTTGTAGAGATGACTATTAAAGGTCTTACTCAAGGAAATAGCCAATCAAAATGAACTTAGTCAATTGAAGTTCCATATATTTAGAGAATTTTTTTTCTTTTTTCATTTTTGGCAATTTGTGTTAGGCCTACAGTATTAAAATTGGACTCATGTACTAGGAAAATCATTTCTTTAGCAGAATTTTCCCACTGAATTAAAAGGAACTCTTTTTTCAGGTGCGGATGATGCAACTTCCTGGATGGTGTGTAGGCTGTTTGTCAACATGTGAATCCCACGTGCATTTCGGGGTAGGTATGTTTACTGTCGATTTTCTTTCTTAAAAGCCCTTTCATAAGGTATATTTTTTCTGATCTCAAATTTTTCTTTAAGCACTAATCTTTAATTTCTCTTTCATGAATTTTCTACTGAGAGTTTTATAAATCAAATAATTTAATTCAAGCAATATAGTAATATATAGTGAAATTATTTCCTGGTGTGAGACCCAAAGAGAAATTTCACTAAAATTTCTCTGATTTCAGGAGTTGTCTCCCCTTGAAAAGATCAATAATGGCGGATAAACAATGCGGCATGCAGTCTGGGCACCAACGGACAGTTTTGACACCCCTATTTCTACCAATTACCTCTGAAACCTTTTTTGTGTTCATCACACAGGTAAGAAAAACAAGATTTTTAATTCAAATAATTTTAATGAGCTAAATAATAAAGTATATAACATTTTTACATGTACAGACTCTCTCGTATAACAAAATGTCACATTTTACACATACAATAATACATTATTCAAATGTTCACATTTTCCCCATTTACACAGTTGAAAATAATCAATGAATAATGAACCAGAAAAACAATTATTACATGTAAGATAGTTCACAAAATATATTTGAAATACATATTTTATACATTTGAAATGCATGTACATATCATCAATGCCCCCCCCTTTCACAGTCTTACAACTTTTTAATTTTGGATCTGTTTATGATTTACTCTAAATGTCTTTAGATTTTTGATCGTACAGCTGATATCTTTTAGATATGTAGTTTTTTTTTTTGAGATTTATATTTAAACAGTTTTTGTTTCATTTTAAAGTAATTTTGTCTATTTTGTTGTTGTTTTAGATGATGGACCACTCTACTTCCTTTTACAACAGGTGCCCCTACAGATTCACAAAGTTCCAGTGTTCAGTTTCCATGACCCCTATTCAGTGAGTGTAAAACGTTATGTATTCTACTTTCAAAATTTCTACTACTTGTAATACATTTTGGATTTGATTTTAAATATGCCTTATTTACAGGTTCAGATTTTTGTATACAAGTATGATATTTGATTCTATCAAGATTTCTTTGTCCTAAAGTCAAATTTATACGGTCTTTTAACAAACATTTGTCTTTTTCTGACATGTTTAATTCAAAGTCACTAGGCAACACTGAAGATTTCCACTTATTGCTTTTCAGTCCACGACAGGAAAAGGAATAGAGTTGACAGGACTTCCCGCACTGACCCTGGTAGCGGTTTATGAGGGAACCAACCGCAGTAGACATAGCACGCTTCATCAAAGGTAAGTCGCCGAAGTAGTGTTTGTAGCAATTCTCGTACTCTGTCCTGCATCGAAGCTTCAGGTCCAAGGCAAATCTTCGCTGCATGGATTCTCTTATGGCCTTGGTTCTTCCCGGAAACATGTGACTGCTGAATGGAGCCTTAGCAGTCTGTTTTCTTTGAGAGTCAAAGAAGTGACGCAAGTCCTTTTTATATTTTACAGCAATATTTTTCTCTCTTCTCTTTCATAATATTTGCATGAATGGTTCACGTTATTCTTCCTTTCAAGAAATGTACAACAAGTGCAATTTGTTTCTGTTTTCTTTCAGAATAATTTACTCATACACATATAGGCTTATTGCAATTAAGAATTAATGCACAGGATTTATGATTAATAACGTCATTTAAATATTTAATAAAATTTTTTTTTGTTTGAACGGGGCAAGTGAACAAATTTATATATTCCATTTTTTTTATTTGGTATATTTTGGTTGACCTGGTCAATATGTACGGAGTTATCTAAATTATGCTCAAACAAAACGAGATGAACATATTTCTTACTACATGTCGGATCCTCACCAATCTATCCTTGTTTAATACACAATGCATAATAACTAGATTGTCAGTTGTAAAATTCATTGTCACATTCATGGAACGTAGGATTTAGAATCGAAAGTTGACTAGAAAGTTGAATACAGGTCTAGATCTGGATCAAAATTTAGAATGTAAACGAGACAATAATGACATCTAGATGAGAATCTAGAATTCCTTTCTTAAATTATCATGGTTATGGCCTAACAGATAAATAAAAGATGTATGTAGAATAAAATAATAAAATCATTCTTCCTTTCCGTTGGTTTAGTACTAAATGTGTAAACTTTAAAAGGCCATGGTCCAAGGAACGTAACAAATTACTCTCTCCCCCTTTCTCTCTCTTTTAAACATGTTATTACATTCCGGAACAGGAGTGGGAAAGGGAACGAACAGGCGTTGTTTGGATCCCAACACATTCACCCTAGTCTTGTGACTCTTCTTGTACTTCTTCAACACTTGTGCTTTCATGAGGCTGTGCAAATATCTGAGATAAAATAACTAATTTTTTAATCAGGTATGAACAAATGCAAATCTGAATGATTAAGACAATACAGTGAATAGTCAATGTAGTTTATTTTCTGTTTAACAAAAAAAAATTTCCAGGAAATAAGTTTCAGTGCAACTTTATTAATGTCATTTTTATGTCTGACATTTCCTTTATCTTATTCCGAATTTACTCACAAAGGTCTACAATTTCTGAAGTTAATATTTGTTTTATCGAATCACGAAGATATAGAGAACCAAAGAACTAACCCTGTTCCTTTCATGCTGTTCATTGGCTCCTTGCACTAGAGGCCCAAGGGTGTTTACAAGGGGTAACTCCAAGAACACTTCGCTCAGTTCTTAACGTTTCCCCTGGTGTAGACGCTTCTTTGTAGGAATCTCAAAGTCCTTCATGAGTGTTAACCGAATAACATATCATGCGCGAACAGACTTCGTGCGAACGTGTTTTAGACCGAATGGATTCCGGGCGAACTAGAAAACGAGCGAACGGCATCAAAGTCGAACGCGTTTCATGGCGCACGAACATACATGTACAACTCATAGCAATCCTCGTTGAAATTGTCCTTCAGATTACTGTGTATTTCGAGGGACCAGACCACAGGTGCTTGAGAACAGGAACGCTTCCCTTCCCCTTCGATATAGACCCCGTTGATTTTTCCGACTTTTTTCTCATAAATAATCTTTCATTTAAATATTTGTTATAAGATCTATACAAACATATCAAAAAATTACCTAAAACAAACGTTCTATTAAATCTTCCCTACTCTCTATATATATTTATATATACAGAGTGGGGTAGAAATTTTTCTAAAATGTCGGTTTAAGCAAATTCTGTGAATTGATAGGACATTTTTAATCGCAGAAGTGTCATCCATATATAATGGGTGTTGCTAAAACGCGGAACGGAAAACGGAACGGAAAGTGGAACGGAACGGAAAACGGAATTTTCTGTCAAGCAAATAACATATAGATTCGATATAAATCAGATTAAAGAGCAATATTCTTGTTGTAAAAGTCATTTCTAATAAAAATTATTGTAGACTTTTACATATTCATGAGTTATACACACCCTCCGTGGAAAAAAGGTACTGAAAGAAATTCACCCCCCAACCCTCCAACTCGAATAAGGATTATCGTATTTGGGCGAAGGCGTATTCCCCTTTTTTCGCTTGTCAAATAAGTTGTATGTTGGAAATTATTTACTGACCCCTCCCCCATCTTTCTATTTATTTCCAATGTCAATGTCTATAAAGGCAAAAAGAACTAGTTATGATATTCAGATTATGCACGGAGTGTCAAATTCGCGATTCATGAAAGGGGGAGTGGCAGTTTCGGATCTGTGTAGGGGCCCACAGCCACATTAAAAATTGATTTATTAAACCTTACACAAAAAGAGGTGGAACTATAATAACTTCTCAGACTTTTCCGATTAACGGGAAAAAAAGCTCATTTTACGGGGTTATTCATAAGCAGCCCCTACCCACATATGTGCCGCAAACAAACAAAATTTAACTTCATTGAATGCAAAGATTCTGCATTATATATCAATCACATGAAAGTTTTCCAACTTTGTGTCTCCAGAATTTAAATATATTGAAAGCAACTCTATTTTGAATAAAAATTTTAACAACAGTGTGTATAAGAGATGTTTATTCGAGCGTACTGTAAAGGTTTGCCCTAACCGTAATCTTAATCATTATTTTTAACATTTTATTTCTCTGTCCATGGTTCATCTAGATATCAAATGTTTGCCGCCCTTTACACCCCCAGTCATAACCTTTTTCCCACGGAAATGTTCGTTCAAGTTGATATCGTTGCACTTTTTGTGAATGTTATTAATGTGGTAGTTAATGTAGTCTGAAAGATGCTGGAGTTGAAACTTATCCCCCCTCCCGAATCAAACAATTGTTTCTTTTTGTGTTTTATCCCCCTCGCGAATCAAACAATAATCTTCTTTTTGTGTTTTTGCTTGTCAATACTTTTATAGTTCGTTTACCCCCCCCCCCACCCCTTTCAAATTCAATTCTAGGTGACTGATATGTTTGCCATTTTCGTAAATAAATGAAAAAAATTGTATATTTTAAGTGTTTTAATCCAAAATAATATATTCCGTTTTCCGTTCCGTTCCGCTTTCCGTTCCGTTTTCCGTTCCGCGTTTTAGCAACACTTATATATAATGTATGTGAAAAAAGTCTTATAGGCCCAGGTTTTATATAGGGGGGTTGTCCTGTCCTTAAGTATCTGTGGACCAGACCAGTCTACCTTCGTCAGCTACACAAAACAACACCAGGCCGCTCACAGTCGCTCATCTTTGTGAAAAACATGAACCGAGACGACATCTGACTATTGCTATATCCTACCAAAACACACATGTGTCCGACACTTTTACTTGCCATTAACCCTTTGAAAATACAAACTCACTCAGAGACTTTCTACAAATGGCGCAAACTTATGTGTTGTGACGTCACGTCTGCTTTGATATTGAATACCCTCTTTGTCGGTAACGTCAAGGTATATATTTATAAAATTTTTCAGTTTTTTTGTGCAATGTATTATATTTTCCTCTTATTTCACTGGCTATATACATTTCTGGATTATCCTTACCTCTTATTTTAATGGCTACAGACTTTACTGCATTATTCCTACCTCTTATTTTCAAGGGCTACATACTTTTTCTGGATTATTCTTACCCCTAACATTAATGGCCACGGACTTTTTGGCTATTAGGTCATCCCTGACCCATTTTCCTTCTTCCTTCACTTGTTTTAACACTTCACAGGTTAAGTTCCCCGCATCTGCCTTCTGTACGTCTTAAATAAATCGAAAGAACAGAGGATGTTTGTTACATGAATTATGCATATCAAGGTCAGGATCTAGAAAGAGCTATGCAACTGCATTAATATGTTTTTACTTTAACCTTTCCTTTGACTTTGACCCCACTTTTAACTACATAATACAAAACATATTTACCAAACTTAGCATTCTGATACGTATTTGTAAGAACTATTCAAATACATCAAGAACGTTCCGGAGCATTCATGTCTTATGAACATATTTGTAGTTTAAACTGTCAATGAAATATGAAAAAATTCAATGAAAAGTTAAGAAAAAAGTCATGAATATGCATTCACGTTAGCCATAAATTTTGAATAGTTGGTGCTAGGGCTTTCATATTTCACAGGTGCATTTCTTGTGACAAAACCTTTATTGGTTATAGAAATATTTTACCCATTAACCCAAACCTTACAGTTTGGCCCATATTCAATTAAAACAAATTTAACCTTGACCTTGACTTTTGAACCGTTAGTACTAGTTTTGACATTTGATTATCACAACTTCATTTAAATTATTTCTTAAGGTAGGATTCTTCTCACACGAAACTGTATTTCTTGTATTTAAAAATTAATGAAATTTTTACAGAATCAAAAAATTTGTGACGCCAGAATCCAAAAAGTTAAAATGGGAGATTTATTAATAAATGAACCTATTACAGAAAAACAAGGGAATATTTCCTTCGGAATACATCAATTTTCACAAAAGACACAAAAATAATTTACTTTCAATATAAAAATCGTATGGGCTTCGTTTCCACAAATTCTTTTCTTCACAAGATAAAAATTGCTGAAAATATTTTTTTGGTATTTCTGTAAAACAGATCCAGGAATTTTGATTTATGTTTTTTATGATTGTATTCATGTTACCATATTTTGGAGAGATTTTGAAAATTGGTTTCAAGCTATTGAAAATTTTTATGTTATTTAAAAACAAAAGGTGATGCTGGGTAATATTGAAGGAAGTTATGTAGAAAATTTGCTCATCTTGTTAGGAAAAGGTACTTGTATTACTCAAGAACTCAAAACATACAATACCTAGATTTACAGAAGCAATTAACATTGTTAAGTATTACAGGAAAATTAAAAAAAAAATTGAAAGCAATTTTCATTGTAAAACTCTGAATAGTTGTTGAACAAAAAGTCTTTAGAATCCTGAGAGCTTTAAGATGAGATCAAGAAAAAGGGACTGGGCACCCAAATTAGGGGCCAACTAAATTGTATAGTAAATGGGCGATGTTTAATTTGATTTGCTATACGTAAAAAAAATTCTTCTTATCTCTAATTAGATGTAATAATGAACAGCTGGCATTTTGGGAAAGGTGCACAGAGTGCATGTGGTGTGTTACGTTTGTTAGGGTGTGTTCGTCTATATATGTTTTGTGTTTTTTTGTTCTTTTGTATGTTTTTTTTAAAAAAATCATAATAAAAAGAAAGGTCTTGTCACAAGTAATATACATTTGTAATATGAAGACCCTATCTCTTCTCATTCAAAAGATATGACCAATGTTAAAGTTTTTGTGACGGACGGACAGAACTACAGACTAGAGGGTTCTTCTCTGGTGTCTGACTAGATGAAATATTCAATGTATATTTGCTTATATATCTCTTATATATTTAGATGTCTGAGATTTAAAAGATCTTTTTTTTTCCTCATCACAATTGTACATCCTCGAATAGATATGTTAAATTACGACCTTGACCTTTGACCTTAAAATAAATAGGTTTTTTTTTAAGCCAAGGGTAGTTGTGATATGAAATATTATTGCAACATCTCAAAGGTATCGGATGGAAACGAAAGTATTAAAACATATAAATATTAAAAGTGTTTTTATTTATGACCTTGAACTTTTGACGTCAAAATCAATAGGGTTCCTCCTTAAGCCATGGAGATTATTGTGTAAAATTTCATTACAAAAGCTTAAAGCTTTCGCGATATCGCTTGGAAAAGCGTTACGAACAGACAGAACTACGGACGGAAGGCCAGCTGGACGGACAGACAGACAGAAATTATCATATTAATACCTCATTATAATTATTCTACATAATGTGTTTACTTATTTGAGTAGTTATAGATTATCACATGACCGGGCTATTAAACTTCATATTTCTCGGTCCTTAGCATGCTTTTCATCATATTCCACCACTTCGGAAACCTAGTGCATTTTCCCGCAACATAGTTAAAATGATATCGTTGGAAGAAAACACTCTAGAGAAGTAGACATACGCGTCAAGATAGTCTGGTTTACGTCACAAAACTGCTTTTTAGTGATGTGTCAAAAATTTGGTTACAGTAACTTTACATTAAAAATGAGAGTGAATTTGAGAACGGTGACGAATTTGAAGTTTATGTTTATTTAAAACTTATAATTATTAATTTACTTATTTCGGTATAATAAACAATTCATTGCATGAATGTTCGGGAAACATAAAATTTTATTCAGCCAAGAAATATCTCATCCTCTCGGATGTAGCCGTCGGGGAATAAGATTTTTCTTGGCTGAATAAATCCTCATAGCTCCATCACTGTAATGCAATAAATGTATAACGTTCCCCCACTTTCAGCGGGGGATACTGACATTCAAGCAAGTTTGTCTTTGTAAGGCAGATCGACTCCAATTCCAAGATATTTAATTTCATTCATAAACAAGTAATTACCGAAATTTCACGATTTTGGGGACACTTTTTCATATAGAGGCCTAAAGAGAAAAGGGGACCCCGCTAGGGACTTGTACCTTCTTATGCAATACTCTCAGAATGCATGTTCCTAATGTTGAGGGAAAATAAATGACTTTGAAATGACCTTGATTCCAATACAGATCGATCAAACTTAATTTCAGTTAAAATAATAAATACCATCACTCGGTCATGTTGTCATCTTGAATCAAAGAAAATACAAGAAACATAAGAGGAATCCCTCTTTTAGTAGTCCATTTATTATCGCGAAACTACTTACTTCTTACGGTAAATTCTAAGCTGAGGTTGTTTGCCTGAGGGGAGAGCACACTACAGGCATACTTGTCGAACATAGAGGGCTCCTCGAATTCACAGAGACTGGTCAGCTGGCGGCCATTGTGGTACCACCTGACCTTGAGTTTACTGATAATGTCCAGGGCAGACAGCCCGGGTATGTTACACAATGCCGTTAAGTTCTCTCCCTTGTTAAGCATGGCTGATGCAGGTGAAATTAACACTGTATACTCCTGAGCCTGAGCCATCCCTATACATAACATGATTATTACATTATGAAGTAATTTTTTTTTATGTATACAAAATTTTATTCACATAAGTGAATGGGATTGGGCAGCAGGCAAAGCCTATTTTAGCCCTCTCCCTACAAGGTCAAAATGAACACACAATATATAGATATAAAGATAAATAGACAAACATAGTAACAATACATACAAAAGTAAATCAAGTTCATGAGTTTGATCACAATCAATAATATTTTGAATTGTTTGGAAAAGTACATTTCTTGGAGAGTTATATTTTGGACAAGCAAAAAAATAATGATGAGCATCGTCAACAGAGTCAATACAGTATTCACACTTTGGTGTTTCTGATAAAAATTGGTTATATAAGTCTGCCTTTAAATTACTTGCATTATTTCGCAATTGGCAATGTATTATATTGTACTTTCTTATTCCAAAATGATAAATTTCTTTACCTTTTTTACAATAATAAGAATTTAAAAGACTTTTAAATGAAGATATTCCAGGGGCATTTCTGATATAATCAGGCAAATCATTCCATAGTTTAATAGTTGATGGGAAGAAATTTTCCATATATGATGTAGTTCTAATAGAAGGAATTTTGAATTCTGCATCATTATTTCTAAGATTATAGGGGTGGTTTGTAGGACGAAAAGGTTCAATCAAGTCCTTTAAATATTTAGGTGAATAGCCATTTATGATTTTATATAATAGTAGCAATTTATGAATATTCCTCCTAGTTTGTAAAAGATTTAACCCTAATTCATCATACAATTTTGATCTAGAGGAATTTGATCTTAATCCAGTAATAATTCTACCTGCTTCAACTTGGATATCTTCTAAAAGTTTTGCATCTTTTTCACAATTGTCCCAAACAACATCAGAATATTCTAAAACAGGTCTAATAAATGCAAAATATATCTTAATAAGTGTTTTTCTTTTCACCTTATACTTAAGCATTCTGAGGATATTTAGTCGTTTTGTAGCTTTTTCATAAATTAATTGTATATGCGAAGTCCAGGTAGCATCACTTTGAAAATGTAATCCGAGGTGGGTATGAGATGCATTTTGAATAATGGATGGGCCATGATGACCAAATGTTATAGGCGGATATTTTATATTTTTGCGGGTGAAATCAACATTTACAGTTTTGTTTGGATTAAAGTCAACAAGCCATTTTTTTTGACCATTTATCAATTAGGTCTAGATCACTAGTAAGCGACTGTGCTACATTTGTGGCTTCTTTTTCTACAATAGCATATAAAGAGGTGTCATCAGCAAAAAGACGTATATTATTTGCTAAATCATCACAAATATCATTTATGTATAGGAGAAAAAGAAAAGGTCCCAAAACAGAACCCTGGGGAACACCAGCATTTACTGTCTCATGGTTTGATGAAAAGCCATCAATTACAACTTTTTGTTGTCTATCACACAAATAATTCTCAATCCAGCCTAATATGTTGCCATTAATACCATATTTTTTATATTATGAAGTAATGATTGCTGGGTGATGAAGAAATTGCCACGGTGGCAGTGGCAGGCTTTTTGAAATTGATATTTATAACATCATTACATCTAGCAGTATCTCTAAAGTGGCTTTGACCTTTCTGTATCAATAAAAGAAAATCACAGAAAATGTGCAATTTACGGCGCATGACTTTTTGCGTTTTGTTTGGGACAATTTCTCCACTTTCCAACTTTCGTTAATCATCTACCTTTCATCCCCTAATTTTAAACACATTCTTAAACTAATTTGTATATTTCATCCATTTCTCAAATCTTTATAGTCGCCTCCTCAGGCGATAAACTGGCTTGATTTGAATTTTCTGAGGGATTGCAGAAAATTATAATTCAAGCAAGTTTAAAGCTTGTAGAGATGACTATTAAGGGGTTGGGATGTGGATGAAATATACATATAAAAATATGTCATAATTGATGGTGGGAAAGGTAGATGTTTTACAGATTTTAGCTCACCTGGCATTGTTTTACAGTTTTTAGCTCACCTGGCATTTTTTTTTTACAGTTTTTTGCTCACCTGAGCTCAAGTGAGCCTTCTGATCACCCGTTGTCTATCGTCCGTCCATCCGTCCGTCTGTATACTGTTTACATTTTTAACTTCTTCTCAAGAACCACTGGGCCTATTTTAGCCAAACTTTGCAAAAAGCGCACTTTGGTAAAGGAAAATTTAAATTGTAAATATAAAGGGCCAAGTTTCCTTTCAAGGTAAGATAATCAAGGAAATAGAAAATAGGGTTAAATCATTAAAAATCTTTTCCTGAAGAACTATTTGACCAAAAAAGATGAAACCTATGTGAAAGCATCCTGGGGTAGTGTAAATTCTGAATTGTTCAAATTATGACCCCAGTGGTAGGACAGGGTCAAAATAGGGAATCCAAATTTAACATTGAAATGTAGCATGTGTAGTGGGGAAAAACTTTTTAAAAATCTTCCTCTCAAGAACCCCTGGGCCAGAAAAGCTAAACTTTATGTGGAAGATCCATTGGTAGTGTAGATTCTAATTAAAAAAAATTATGACCACCTTTGGTAGGGCAGGGTCACAATAGGGATTTCAGTTTTACATAGAAATATATAGGGAAAAAACCCTTTTAAAATCTTCTCAAGAACCACTGGACCAGACAATACTGTAACTAAAAAGCACAGAGAATCCAAAAAAACCCTGAAAAATACTGAGTGGTACTGAGAAAACTCTGAGTGGTACTGAGCCCGGTATTGAGTAAACAAAGGTAGTCCTGAGTAGCACTGAGGTTTTCACTGTGTACACTGAGGATATACTGAGAAGCAATGAGGTTGACTCTGTTGGTACTGAAGAGGTACTGAGGGATTTTGAGTTGGCTCTGAGGTCACTGAGCTGATACTGACATTATTAAGAAATCAGTGATCCAACCACGTCTAGATTTTGCTTTTCTATTAAGAAATCAGAATTTGTTAATACATTGTTCGAATTTTGTAAGATTTATCATAAATGCTTTGTCCTTCGTTTAATTTAATGAATAAAAATCATATAAGTGACAAAAATGCATTTGATTCACTTTTAAAGGGTTAATTAAAAGCAGATTTGAATATCTATTCTTCAGAAGATTCAGCAGTATCAGGATATTTTGATGTGAAAAAAAAATGGAGTGAATCCTTTAAAATATTAATATTTTTATTTACGACATTTAAACTCAAGCAAACTTTTTGTTTTATTCTGACCTAGCGATGTTTTTATATACAGTGTATTGTAATATTTTTATTCGGAAAACGTGGTCTGAAATCAGTGTATCTTTTTTAAAGTAATATTTAATTTTTGTCAACGTTTACTCCTGCATTAATTTCTGGAAAGGAATAATTTTATTGAGATAAAAGTTACAATTGCCACAAAAACAGTGCAAAATCCTCAAAATGAAATGCAGCGAAGAATTATTCAAAATAATGTAGAGGATTATTAACGTGAAATTTTTAATAAAATCTGAAATTGTCAAAAAGGTTTCAATGTCAACAAATGAAAGACAAATTAACAGCTACCGAAAAAATTGCTTTTTTGCACATTTGGAAATAATATTTTAACATGGTTTCTATTTTGAGTGGCTAGTGTTACAAAATATCTATAGTACTGGGAATGTAAATGGTCTTAACATGGTAAAACAGGCACTTGTTTCGGAAATAAATTTTTGACCCATTTGACGAATTACACTCAGTACCCCCTCCCCATAAACGCTCTCATTTACACTTTCAAAGGAAATGCATTGGCAAATTGTTTATTACCAATATCTTCTACGATAATTTATCTACACAACCATATATAGCATGCGAGTCTTTGTTTTCATTCATTTGCGTAAACAGCATGAAAACCCTGCTCACCGGGTGAAAAGTCGAACTCAACCATAAAACGGTATGTGCTAATCCCGGGCAAAGAGCAAAATTAGAAAATGAGTGGGTTTAAAAATTCAATCCAAATTTTTAACTATTGCTTTGAAGAAGTAAAATTTGATTGTGACTCATTTTTCTGTAAAACATTACGACATTTTTCTGATGTATTCTAGAAACAGATTTTTAGCCAATCAAAATCACTGTGTGAGATATACCGTTTCATGGTTTACAGTATACATTCCGATTGACAGTTACATATATTTACTGAACAGCTAAATAACCACAATGTGGACATAAATTAAAAAAAAAGATAACTTTTCTTTAAGCGTTGAGTAGCCGATTACTCATTTGTTGAGCACTCGTGAGAGCGGAAGGTTTTACTCATTAGTTGAGTAGTATTTTGATTACTGTAATTTTGTATATAGTTTGTTTATCTTACTTAGTATTTTTTATAGTGATTTTTAACACTGATTTGTTTTGTTAGTTAATTAAGGGTAATCATTTTTTTTTATACAAGAAATGGTTTTGAAATTCAAAATATACTTCACCGTTTTCTATATTTTGCCAATTATTTTAAGGTATTTTTTTGAGTCTCAATCTCAGTTTAGTTACTGAGGGATCCAGTATCAGAAGAGAACATGTTACAATATCTACTTTTTAATGTGCCGCACAACTGCTTAAGGGGGGTCGACTAGGGTTTTGTTGTCTACAATACAGAAACTCTTTATTCCATACCATATATAACTTACATTGACTTCAGTGGACATGTAAATTTTGGGGGAAAATCTACCGCCTAGGTATTTTTAAGGGAACGTCTCAAATTATAGGTATTTTACTAAAAGATTATAGGGAAAAGTGCAAAATTTTTGCTCTTTAAAGGATATTATGCAAATACTGCTATAGACATTTCGCTCAAACTATAATATATGACGAATAAAACTATATTGTGCATTATATGTAAGTACCACAAAATTCTACCGCCTTGTTTCCAGAGGGGACTTCTCAAATGCAAAGAAATATCAGTTTTTCATGTTTTCACATAGTACTATAAAATATGACGAGTACAAAGAATTTATACCAAATAAAAATATAAAAATGATAGAGAGATTCTCAAATTTCTATGTTTTAAATTTCAAGTGTATATATTTATTACCTTTCCTTTTATAACATTTTTATTATCCCCTCTTTAAGACTTTCACCAATCTCGTATCAGTTGGAAAATCGCTCTAAAAATCAGTTATTTAAAATTTTTATTACATTTCTAAACTGAAGTTTCTTAATTTTGTTATTTTTTTTTAAAAAATGACAACATTGCTTTAAAACAGTAAAAACTCTTCATTTTACAAAGATGCGTAAAATATTGCGCAATGGAAACCCCAGTCGGCCTCCCTAAATGTTATTAATATAAATAAAATTAAAAATATGCAATGAATGATTTAAATAAATTTTTTATTGACAGTATGCTTTACAAGGAAAGGTGGTAATATGTTTATCAAAATTTTCATGTGTGTTATGCAATAGTATTTGGTATGTTAGAAACATTACCATTTCCCTGAAATTAAGGACTTCTGCGCCGCATAATTGTATCACTTTTATTAAACTTTCAGGTGTGGTTCAAGAATCCTTTTAAAAATTCCAAACAAATTATGTAAATAATTTTATCAATTAAATGAACAATAAGGAAAAACAAATTCAGTTTAATTGTTGACGTGTTTCAAGATACTTGCACCTACACATTTTGATTTGACAAGAGTTTAAAAACAAGATGTGTTTGTGAAATATGAGCCCGGCGTTTTCAAAATTCAAAAAAGCTATTTTATGCATATACTGTAAAAGTGGTTATTTACACTGGTTGTTAAGTATGCGCTTGTGACCATCAAGCATTGCGCGTGGGTGTAAAATACGCGGTCGCAAGAGTTGTAACTAACATCGAGTAGGTCATGGTCAAAAGGTCATTGACCTTGGAGTTATTTGAAAGAAATTCTATGTTATTAGTGGAGAATGCATACTAAATATGAAGTCTCTATCTCTCATGGTTCAAAAGTTTTGCCGAAGGTTCAAAAAGGCATATAGGTCACAATCAATGTCATTGTCATTGACCTTGGTGCAATTTAAAAGAACTCTTAAAATTAGTGGAGTTAGCGTACCAAATATGCATTCTCTATCTCCTATGGTTCTAAAGTTAAGGCGAAGATACGAAACCTCTATTTGAGCATATAGTTCACATCCAATGTCACAAAGTTATTGACGTTTGTGTCATTTGAAAGAGCCCAATTAGTGGATTTTGGATATCAAATATGAAGTCTCAATTTTTTTATTGCTCAAAAGTTATGGCGAAAGTTAGGGTTAGGGTTGCAGACAAACAGACAGAACAAAGACAATATGAGCCCTGAATAATGATCTGGTTGCAAAATGAAAGAAATTTGACCATTAGATTACAATAAAACTCATAAGAAAAATAATTAATTTTTGAAAAATAGCCTCAGTGTAACTCAGGATTACCACAGTATTATAAACCTCAGGGCTACTCAGTATCAGCTCAGTGGCCCCAAAACCACATCAGTATCCCTCAGTAATCCTCAGTACCACCTCAGTACCAACAGATTAAACCTCAGTGCCTCTCAGCATGGTCTTCAGTATCTACAGAGAAAAGCCTAAGTGCTACCCAGGACTACACATTACCTCAGTTAACTCAGTACCGGGCTCAGTACCACTCAGGGTTTTCTCAGTACCATTCAGTACTACCTCGGGGTTTTGTTTGATTCTCTATGCTTTTCAGTTACAGTTGTGAGAAAAGCTGAAACTTGTGTGGAAGCATCCTTGGGTAGTGTTAATTCTAAATTATTCAAATTATGACACATAGGGGTAGGATGATGCCATAATAGGGAATCCAAGTTTTACATTGAAGTATATACAAAATAAAAACTTCAAAAATCTTCTTTTCAAGAACCACTGGGCCAGAAAAGCTGAAACTTAAGTGGAAGAATTCTAGAATAGAGTAAATTCTTAAATGTTCGAATCATGACCCTTTTGGATTGAGCAAGGTCAAGATAGGTATTACAAAGGGGGAAATCTGGAAAATAACAGAATGGCCAAATTCACTCAGGTGAGCGATGTGGCCCATAAGCCTCTTGTACACTATTGGTATAATTTAGAACATCGATAGAATTTCTGTGTATTGTTTTCACCTTCATGTAGATATTTAAATAAAATGTCGTCTCTAATCAATATATACACTGAACAAAACTTCTAAGGGCTCACCTTACATTTTTTACGTTTTAAAGAACAAAAGCTTACAATTAATAATTTCTTTCATTCATGGTTAATGATTGATGTATATTTCAGTTCCATGTTAACGTTTCATGTAAGTATCTTGTCAGAATTTTAAGCAAACTGTCAAGGAGATGATGTGCCATCAAAATGAAAATTCACATAAAATAATCTCTATGGAGTAAGACCACCACTCGCTCTAATTATTGCAAGACACACTTTTCTCAGGGATACACATACATGTCCAAGAACGAATTTGATGTCGAAATCGACGATATCGACAATATTATGTCGATATCGTATCGATATCGATGATGATGAGCACTGTTAATTTGAAATACTTGGTACCATATATGACTTTGTGCTATGTCGATATCGTCGATATCGACAATAACATGACGATATCCTATCGATCCTTTTTATAGAATTTTCATAATGTGGTATAACATTATTTTTCAAGATCACAAGTGATATCAAATTCATTATTAGCATGAATTTGTAATAAAATTATGATAAGGAAGAGGTAAGTGGTTGTTATTGATTTATGTTAAGTTCAGAGCAAGATGTTGGGTGAAGGTGAAAGTTGTTAAATATATTTAAACAATCATGATTCGATATCGATACGATATCGTCGATATCGACAGTAGGGTAAACTAATTAATCAGAGAGTAAATATACAAAAGCGTTGCATGAGGAAATAGAACTTATTGTCATGGGATATGTTAAAATTTTAGATTTTGTATTAGGGTGAAGGTTGGTTAAGTAATATATTTTAACAACTATGAGTCGATATCGATACGATATAGTCGATATCGATGGCAGGTATAATCTTTATTTAAGTAAAGTAACTGTTATTAAACATAAATACACATACAATGTAACGGGGACGGTATTTACAAGGAAGTGAGCAAACATGATTCGATATCGAAGCGACATCGTCGATATCGACGATATCGACACTACAGGGAAAGTTTGATAAAAGGTAGTTTTCAAATAACACGTTAAAAATACAGTACTTGTATTATAGATGGAAACCATAATTCTTTGAACAATCATGATTCGATATCGGCACGATGTCGTGGATATTGAAGGTAAGGAAGACTTTTTAAGACAGAAAGTAATGTAATAAACACACAAGAAATGTTGTAGTAAACTATAAAATAGTAATTTGTCGATATCGTATCTACATCGTGTCTTGGACATAACTCGGGATACAGTGTACCTATAATAGATTGACCCATCTACTGCCACACCTACTGTATGGATCAGTCTAATCCGTTGAAATTGTGTGGAGGACGAGGGTTGGGGTGGGGGGATAACATTCCTTATAAAATTCCCAAATGTGTTCAATGGGATTCAGATCAGGGGATTTGGCAGTTCATCATCACACAGATTCCTTTTGGTCCATATCCTAAGACATTTAGCTCATAACTTCAATGCTTTAAGAATGAATGATTCAGACTGTTTGAGATGATATTAAACTATCATGATTACCATCTTATTATTATTATGTCTTACCATTATCTTACCATTGAATTTGTTTATTTTGATGTTTTTAAAACTATTTCAGGCCAATGTAACTGTTACAATCTTTTGACCTGGCTGTAACGCGAAACCTAGGCCCCAGGCAAAAATCCAGATCACTTCCGGTTCGGTTAAATGTTGTCCAATGCTTTCAATTTGTGATAAGTTGGCAATGAAAATGACGCACATCTTATAGAAAAATGATTTTAAATAGTTAATTTTTTACGAGTTTTTTACTGTCAAAAGTAATATCAAAGACAAATAAACACTATGAAATAAAAAAAAAGCGTAAAACATGGTGCAAAATAGAGTAATCCAGATATATCAATATTCCAACGGCGCTCCCTCCTATTTCAATGGTCATTTTGCCAATGTTTTGTTGTTTTTTTTAAAACAGTTTTTAAAAATTGATAATTGACACAAAAAGATGCTGATTACACAAAACACGTGCCACAAAGTGAAAATTTATTGTTTTTACGTTTGGTCACGGGAGCTTGGTTTTCATCGTTGATAATTGCATTTCTTTCAAAAATTGTTGACAAGATTAATTATTGGTTATAATAATTTAAAAATATCACACCATCATAGTATGTATAGTTTTAAACAAATCTGACATTATCTCCTAAATTGCATAAACATTACACATAAAAGCGTGTTGCAAAATAAATTCTGTATTACAGAAATTTTTTTAAAAAAATCAAATCTCTGAAAGAGTTTCTTTTGTCCAAAAAAATTATAATTGATTAAAAAAGCTAATTATTTTGGAAATCAAGGATTGCTGCTTATCATAATTATTTTCATGAGCTCTACACACCTTCTATACACCTTAAAATTTTACTGCAATCATTCATTAAAAATTCTTAACATTGTACTCTTTTCAACGTTTGTTTTTTTTTAACTGCAAAACATAAAGTAATTATAAAAATGATATACTCACCAAATACAGATTTCATTAATAGAAGGATACATATTTGTAAAACAACTGCTGTATTGACTGCACGCAACATTTTGAAGAAACTGAAAGTACTAGTATCGAATTATATCTTTATGTCAATAACAGTACTTCCTTTGCCGTAGAAAACTCATAATTAAGTTTCTTTTTATGTACAGTCAGTGAAGAAGGAAATGAACCTTTTTCTAATTGTTCTTCTCGTGATATTATCCTAAAGTATATTTTTGCTAAGTGGTTGAACAAGACACTTAAGGTTAACAAAGTAAACTTTTTAAACAGGATTTAACATGTTTAAGACTTATCTTTATAAGATAGCTTATAACGTGTTATTTTATATATCTACATTTGCAAATATCTTTTTAGATGAACCTATTGAAGAGAAAATATGTTCAATTCTGTATGAACTTCATTTCGGGGTCAGAGGTCAAATCCCTACCCAATCCCAGAGTGAGATGATATTTTTTCTACATTTTCTGTCACGGTGCAACTTGTTTTTAAATATTTCTAAGTTAATAACGACGAAAAAGACAAAATGATTAAATCAGTAAATCTTCTTTCGATGTAAATAATGTTTTGAATCCTGTAATTAGCCCAAAATCGCACTTACCTTTTTAACCCGAAATTCCTTTAGAGTTATGTAAACTAAATCATGCAATACCACCGCTTTTGACTTCAAATATATTAAGAACTCATGAATTAGTAAGATTATTTTCAGAAGCGATTACCTTGCATTGTTCTTTCACAATATATTTCACATATTTCACATGTATATTCCTTGAGACAAGAACTTTCTTTTGATACCACCAAATTTGATCTTTTGACCTTGACCTTGGGAGTTTAACCCATCTTTACATAAAAAATCAAAACTTTTACTTTGGTCATATTTTTTTAACAGTAGATACCTGGGCATTTATACTTCACATATGTATTTTCTGTGGCAAGACCTTTCATTGAGTATCAACAACCTTGACCTTTTGACCTTAGAGATTTCTATACTTATAAAAAAACTTCAACTTTTGCCAAAACTTTTGAACGGTAGGGGCCAGGGCTTTCACACTTCACATATGTAATCCTTATGAAAAGGCTTTATTATATAGCTAGAACTTTGACCCATTGTCCCTGACCTTGGAGTTTGACCTATTTTTAAAATACAAACTTGACCATAATTTTGAAGAGTTAGGATTCCGGCTGTCATACTTCACGTATCTAATCCTTGTGACAAGACCTTTCATTTGATATCAAGAACTTTAACCCTTTGACCTTGACCTTGGAGTTTGACCCATTTTTACACAAAAAATCCAAACTTCTACTTTGGCCCTACTTTTTAAACGGTAGGTACAAGGAATTTTATATTTCAAATATTAATTCACTTTCACTTGAAACCAACTATTTTGACTTTTTGACCTTGGAGATTTCCGTACCCACGAAAAACTCTTATCATTGCCACAACTTTTGAATGGTAATGGCTGGAGCTTAGTACATAATTCATATATGTTATCCTTGTGAGAAGACCCTTCATTTGATATCAACAACTTTGACCCTTTGACCTTGACCATGGAATTTGACTTACTTTTAACAAACTTTAACCTTGGCCATAACTTTTGAAAAGTAAAGGCTACAGCTGTTATACTTCACATATGTAATCATTGTGACAAAACCTGTCATTAGGTATCAACAACTTTGACCCTAGCCTTTGACCTTGACCTTAGACTCTGACATACTTTTTACAAACTTAAGCCTTGGATATAACTTTTTGAACGGTAAGGGCCAAGGCTTTCATACTTCCCATATGTTATGTTTATAACAAGGCCTTTCTTTAGAAACCAACAACCTTGACCCTAGGACCTTGACCCCGGAGTTTGTCCTACCTTTAAAAACGTAAACCTTGGTCATAACCTTTGAACATTTGGTGCTAGGGTTTTATATTTCACATTTGTATTGTAAAAAGGCCTTACTTTAGGTACCAATACATTTGATCTGCATTTGAGAAAGCTTAACCTTCGCTATTTGTTGCCAAACGGGGACATCAGTGTTTCACAAACACATCTTGATTGTTTCTATCTCACTTCTACGGACAGATCACTCTAACAGTAATTGTATAGTGCTGTAAATATTTTCTGTTTGTATCTTCTCTATACTGTTTTTACAGTTTAAGTAAATAAATTTTTGAAATTGAAAACTACACTAAATTAGAATAATTTAGTTTGTAGTGTTAAGAGCTTCCTAAAGTTTAATATCGACATATATTTTATTTTTTTTTTGTAAGTGCATGTATTGATTTTCTGAATTGGAAATACATGTATAATTATTTCAAACACTTTTTGCATTATATATATTCCGGGGAGAGAACAAAAAGCATTTTAATAATTATAAAATTCATAGCCTATAAGAATATATTTCTGTTTGAAATTAAATATTCCACTGAAAAGGAGACTATTTACTTCCGAACGTTCCAAAAAATGCAACCGTGTTTAACAGACACCAAGTCCATACCATACAATTAGTTTTGTTTTCTCGATCGCTAATTTTATTACTGTTTTTTTTTTCTCTCACACTAGAGATGAGAGTATCTTTGTTTCTGATTTTGCATTCAATTTTCCTTCTTCCTGATTTATAAATGTAACCTATCTTAAGGGGACAACAGTGTACTTCACTTCTCCAGCATGGCTGTAATTGGTTATCTTGATGGTTATGGAGGATCAGCCAGAACTACTAGAAATACTTATGTTCTTCCTGAAATCAGCCTTGTCCGCACTCTCCTCAATCTCATTATCTTTGAATCTGACCTTTCCTTAGTCAATTTGAAAATTATACATTTTAAACTTAGCATCTTCATCTCTAACGCCATTATTTTGCAAAGTTAATGGAATAAGAATAAATAAAAAGCTGCTGTGATTTTTCCCGCCATTCACAGTAATAGAAATCCAATTATAAAAATTCATCCATGATAGAAATCTTTAGAATCTAAAGAAATATTTCCAATTATCTATTAATATATGGAATTAAGTAGTGTTGGCAAATCGGTCGATTTTTAGTTACCGGTTACTCCCTTCATCTTCCAATCGAGTACCCGGTTACTCGGATGATTTTTGTTTAAAGTATCATTATCTATTATTTATCCGGTCGGTAGTAATGATGCACAAATATACTGCATAGGGACAATACACACATTCGATATCGTCAAAGAATTACGATTTCAAAATAAAGAAAATTAATACGGAATTCGACACACAAAGACAAATAAAGACGTCATCGTCAATCATCATTTTACACTTTTCAGCCCCCGAAGTATGTCGCAATGGAGGAGAATAATTATTTACATACTCCATAATTAATAGGCGGCATATCATCAAATTATCAAATGAAGTAATTGTAACTCAGGCCTTCAAAATATGTATACCCCAAGCAATCAAAGCTATCAATTATGTAAACTGTGAAAACTAATCAAAACAATTTGATTCACTATAACCATGCACTAGATCAAGTCTAACGGTACCTAAAATTAGGGAAATGTGTAAGTTAGTATACATCTATAAATTATAAAACATTTATTTTAAATGCCTTTTTTATGTAGAATTTATTTTATCCGAGCAACCGAAAAGCAGTTTTACTAACCGATACTCGAAACGTTCGACGGTTAACCGTTAACGGTTAACTGGGTACTCGTTGCCAACACTAGAATTAAGACATGAAAAGTAACAACAACATTAATTTAATGAACATATTAAAAATACATTTTCACAATACTAAGCATTCAATAGCTTTCTTTCATTTGCTTGCAATATGAGAATACACAGTATTTGATAATAATAAAAAATCAACATACTCTTGATAAAAAAAGATACAATTACTTATGGAACAGGCAACAGAAGTATATTAAAATGAATATAAAACTAGAGGTACTATGAGCAATGAGCTCACTAAATAATACCCCCGCCTCCCATAATGTCCAAGTGTTGCTATATATTGTTTTACGGTTATGTGTAAAGAGGAATAATTCGTCCTATCAACTGTTATCCAGAAACTTCTATGTGACGTCTTAGGTAAACATATAATGACAATGTCCATATTTTGCTATGGGAAACCTAAAAACCTAAAACACCAGTGAAGTTAATGGAATTATTAAAAGTGTATGTGAAATGTATGGTGGTTCAGTGATTCCAACTTCTAAATTTTTTGGTCGTGGAAATCCCAAACAAGAGTATTATTGGAAAGACAACATTCATCTGTCAGACAGAGGTACAGCAGAACTGCTAAAAATATTCCATCAATACGTGAGTATCCTCAAAGTCGGAAAGGTACATACGAATGGTGAAGAATCGGAAATACTTGGCAGTACTTCCTTCCGCCGTCCAGCCTTCTGTTATTTCTGCGGGGAAAGTGGACACATATCACGACACTGCAGACATGGAAGAAAGTTGGACTGTTGGAACTGTGGGGAACTGGGTCATAGAACCAAGCTTTGTCCGAATGGACACTAGGAAACTGGCAACGAATGTGTAGCCGACCATAGTTCCCATCGATTTCTCTTGACAACAATGTTTATTCGACTCTTAGTAGATTATGTTCAGAATGTAATAAGATCCACTGTTCATGCAAACAATGTGAATATTTTTCTCTAGATTTGTAACAAATTCAAAAAATTTAATTACTTCACCAAATACATCTAAATTCTCAAAACCAGACAAGAATACTCATAGATTTCATACCAAGAAGGTTTCACAATCTGCTAATCATACTATATCTAAAAATGAGAATATACATGTACCACATGTACTGAGCAATAATGGGTTTGGTTTGGTGAAAAAAGGTCTAAGATTTGGAAATCTAAACATATGCCACTTATTGCCTAAAATTGAAGAAATTAAACTATTACTTCATGACAAACAAACTGTAAATATTTTAGGACTTTGTGAAACCTTCTTGGATGATCAAGTCAGTGATTCTGAATTGTATATTGAGGGTTTTGATATGGAAAGAAAAGATCGCATTTTGAGAGCATATGGTGGAATTATTGTCTACATTTCTAATAATATAAGATATAAACATAGGCCTGATTTTGAAATCAGCGATATTGAAACAATTTGGCTGGAATTAAAAATTAAAATTTCTTAACCAATTTATTACTGTTCAGCATATCGTCCACCCTCTGCTCCCTCCTGCTGGGCAGAGGACCTGGCTAGAGAGATTAACTGTGCCTCCTACTGTGACGATGCAGAACTTATCTTAACAGGTGACTTTAATGTAGACTTATTCAAAGAACCCCATCAAAGTTGGACATATGCTATGGAAGAGTATGGTTTATCACAATTAATTACAGCACCAACCAGAGTAACTAATACCTCAAGTACCCTAATAGATCACTTTTACACCAATAAACCAGATAACATGTGTGAAGTAAATATACCTTTTATAGCCATCTCTGATCACTACCCAATATGTGCCACTAGAAAAACAAAATGCATGCCGCAAAAAGGAAAACACATAGAAATTCAGTATAGAGACTTCAAAAAGTTTGATGAAAATAAATTCCTCCAAGACTTAAAACATGTAGAATTTAGCAATCTCCTCCAGATGCATGACCCTAATGAAATACTAACTGAATTCTATGAATTATTCAATAGCGTACTTGACCAGCATGCACAGGTTAAAACAAAACGAGTAAAGAGTGAAATCCGTCCTAAATGGATGACACAAAAAATAAACAATGCTAGACATTTACGGGACTTTTACCACAAAGAAGGAGACATGGAGAACTATAGAATTTATCGAAACAAAGTTAGCGTTCTTATAAACAAATCAAAATCTTCTTACTATAAAACAGCGATTGAACAGAGATCAAATCCCAAAGAAATGTGGAACTATCTTAATCAATTAACATGTAATCTTAAGAATACAACTCCATCTCATGTGTCTTCTAATGGGGAAATTGTTGATAATTTACAAGATATTGCAAATACTTTTAATAACCACTTTACGGATGTCTCTAACAAGCTTCTATTGGAAATGCCAAAACATGATTATGATCCTAATATATTATGTAATTTTGTTAGGTCTAAACTTGATGAGGAAACCTTGTTTAGTATTCATCAAATTGAGGAAAGTGAAGTTTTTAACATATTAAATTCTCTAAATATCAATAAATCAGCTGGCATCGACTTTATTGGACCGCGTCTTCTGAAAGTCACATCTAAATATATATGTAAACCTATAACTCATCTTATTAACGCTAGCATAGTAAGTGGTATTTTCCCGACAAATTTAAAACAAGCCAAAGTAACACCTATTTTTAAGACAGGTGACAAAGCTGACCCGAATAATTATCGTCCTATTTCTATTCTACCAACAATATCTAAATTGATAGAAAAACATGTAGCTAAGCTAATACACACAGGATGAAAAGCCAGGTTTCCCAAATTTGGAAACCCGATGGAAACATATGGGAATCGTGACATCAGTAGTTTCCATATAGTTTCCATTTTATGGAAACCACATAGTGGTTTCCACATAGATTCCCGACATGGAAACAATCAACCTGTGGTTTTCCGTACGTTTCCCAAGAAACAAAATTTCACTAAAGAATTTGATCTACTAACACAATCCCAGTCGGGGTTTAGGAAACTCCATTCCTGTCAAACTTCACTTACAAAACTAACAGAAAGTTGGCTTACTGCGATGGATCGTGGTGAACTAATCGGTATTACATTTATAGATTTTAGTAAAGCATTTGATTTAGTGAATCATGATATTCTTCTAGAGAAATTAGCCCATTACAAATTTGACCAAACAGCTATAAAGTGGGTTAAATCATATCTCTACGATAGGACCCAGTGTGTTAAATTTGGATCATGTGTCTCCAATATTCTACCCGTCAAAGCAGGAGTGCCACAAGGGTCAATTTTGGGCCCACTTTTATTTTTATTGTACATAAATGACCCTCCATTACATGTAAACAATTCAAATATTGATATGTTTGCTGATGATGTAACTCTGTATTCTAATGATAATAATGCAAGATGTTTAGAAAATACACTAAATTCAGATCTTAATGAGATTGAGAAATGGTGTGCTCAAAATCAAATGGTTTTAAATGTAGATAAAACAAAATGTATGTTAATGGGAACACAGCAAAGAAAATCAAAATTTGATAATCCAAATTTACAACTTTATGCCTCAGACAAAACAATTGAAATGGTTGAAACTGAAAACATTCTTGGTGTACACATTGATGATAAGTTACATTATGCAAATCATATTGATTCGGTTTGTTAAACGGTAAATTATAAGTTATTTACTCTTCGAAGGATTAAGAAATTTCTCCCTCTACATACCAGAAAACTATATTACAATGCTTATATTTTACCATCCATTAACTATTGTTTGACTATCTGGGGTAAATGCCCCCAAGCAGGACAAGGACAGACTTTTTTAAATTACAGAAAAGGGCAGCAAGGATTATTCTTAACGCAAGTCCCGATTCTTCTTCTAAACCACTGTTTGAGAAACTTGGATGGTTAACAGTTTATGAGCTAGTTGATCTATACAAATACATATTATTATACAAAATTTTCAGTGGAACGACTCCCCAATATCTACGTAATTTATTTGAATTTCATTCATCATCTTCTTATAACCTTCGATCTGAAAGTAATTATGATCTAAGATTGCCGAAATTTCGTACAAACTTATTCAAGACATCTTTTCAGTATTCAGGTGCACACCTATGGAATAAACTTCCCAACACCCAACACATTAAACTCTCTCAATCTCTAGGAGCATTTAAGCGTAATATAGAAAATTACATCATCAGCTGCCGCACAATTATTTGAGCACAATAAGGTTTCGATATTGTATAATGATTGTTAATTAACTATACATGGACACTATATTCATAATCTTGTGATTGTAATTCCTTAAACATATAACTATTACTAATGTTGTATTGTATCCAGTATATTTTTTGTATTTGATATATATAGAAGGCCCTGGGGAAGAATAGTGCATGCACTAACCAGGTTACCTTCTTTAAATAAAGTATTTATTATTATTATTATTATTATTATTATTAATAATAAAAAAGTAAAATAGGAGGTGCAAAATGGCAATATGTAATAAAGATTCTGTGAAAGTTTCATTAAATTGCACTCAGTAGTATAAGGGCAGTTGCAGAAAAGAGATATAGCGCAACAGACGGACGGACGGACGTACAGACGGAAATCCCGATCACTATAAACCCTTCCACTTTTCAAGCGGGGGGTATGATAAACCTTAATGCTGAACTGTGTTTTGCTAAAAATAACGAAGAACTATATTTAGATAAAGAATACTTCTTGAAACATTGAAGAATTTGACAAAGACAACAACAAATATTTTTTTATAAATACGGTTTCCCTTAAATAACCATTATTTTACATCTTTTAAAGGTCAAATTTATTAACAATAGGTTTATTGATACAGTCTTAATACTTATATATACATGTAATCGACACATTTTAATATTTAGTGAATATGTAAATGTATATCATAAGATGTCCTGCATTCATTTACATAACATACATTTTTAAAAAATTCATTTATCTCAATGTACCATTTAAAAAAACTTCAAAAAAATGAAATATAATTTCAACTTTATTTACGCCAAAATTTTCAGTGACATTCAGTTTCCTTTTCTTAATAACATTTTCTGAGCAAAGATTATGTCTTTGGTATTCATTTGTAAATGAAAAATAAATTTTATACATTTGATTAGCACTTCATAACTTATATAAATCCTCTCTACACTTGGTTTAAGGTGACATATTCTCAAATCTCATGAACTTTTATCATCAATGAGAATATTACACATATTGAACAGCTGCAATATTGAAAAATTATATTTACATTAATTAGGATAAAAATTTAAGAATTGGCTACACTAGAAGCATTATTATAATGATTCGTTTACTTACATGTAACATAAATACGGTCAATGAATGCGATGTTAACACTGGAATGTAATATATACTAAAGTCACAATGAACTGAACAGACAGACTGGTTCACAATCACCCTTAAAAGCAATGAACTTTGAGATATAAAACAAGAGAAGATAAAAATTCATGTGAATATGACAGCAAAATGCTAATGCACAATTGATATTCTAAACAAGCATACAAGTGACATGTGTATCTTTAAATTTCCATACTTTTATAGATCTTCGAAGACAGAAGATAAGCATGGGTTAACCCATATTATGTACAATTTGCTACTTTAACTTCCACTAAGACAAGGGAGCATAGAATGGGACTTCTAACAAGTTGTAGATCTCTAAAACAATTCTGGCAAATCCTTCCTTGCTTTATCTCTCATAAATCCAATGAGGTATGTACATGATGAAGAACATACAGTCTCTAAAATTTGTTCCTTTGTTTGCAGATTTCAGAAAATTAAAGTCTGACTCAGTATTTGTTATAAAAAATAATACAAAGATTTGAAAACAAAAATGTAAGAATCTATCTCTACAAGTAGGCACGAGTTGCTGTATTCTTGCGTAAGTTAATTTTTAAAAAGGCCTATGGCAGTGTACGTGCGTTACAATATAAGAGAAAGGGTCAAAGATAAAAGTGACACGAAAAGTGCTGATGTTGTTGTCATTGGCATGGCAGAGTTACTGTATTCTACAAAATAAGAAAATTCAGAATTATTACAAAAAAAATTGTATTAATGACCCATAAAAAATAATTTATTTACAGTTTGTGTATATTTCTTTTTACCCGTGGCATGCTAGTTGTACAACCTATGAACCATGACTTTTTTTGCTGTTGTGCGCCTCGTATTAAATTCACATAGTTTACATCAATAGACACAATTACAAAATAATGACTCACCTTGTGTAATTGAGAGTTGATATTCATTTGTTTTTGCATTGGGATCATTGTAGATAACCCGGAATGGAGTTTTGAAATCTTCCGCCGTAACCTGTTTGATCTCCATAGTTGTTACTAACTTATCATCACCCTCTTGCTGCAAAAATGAAATATTTTTAAATAAAAATAAAGCTTTTGAATGGGCTTTTTTTTTTTCATTTTTAACACTCATTTAGTGAGTTAAACATGTTAAAGTTATCTTTCTTATGCCTGCACTGTGATGGTTTTACTCTCACAATATTTAATACACTCTTTGAGTCAGTTAGAGCTATCCTTCACAGTTACCCTTCATTACATATAAGCCTGCCCTGTGACGTTTTTTTTACACTCACCATACATTCTATATTTAGTCGACCGTGGTCGCCGGGTGGATACGACTTTCCATCGTTGCCGCGCTTCCACAGAACTTTGTTACACATGATGCCCTCCACCCCGAAAACCTCACACTTAACCTTATGTCGCTTGTTGTTCACAGTGGCGGAATCATTGGTGCATTTGAATTTGGGATCAACTGGAATAAGATAATCATTATCATTATCTTTTATACTTAATACATAAAACATGACATAAATTTTCTAAAAATTCCTTTTTCATGGAGGAAGAGATGTACTATTATTGAGAAATACATGCATATACGGGTATTATATAAAGCTATGGGGACTGCACAGAGAAAGACTGATCAGACACAAAATTATAGTACAGTTACAACAACATACTTACTTGTACGAACAACGACCCTGTATGTCCTTTCCTGCTTAGAACCTGGTAAACCATCGACACTGGCTCTGCACATTATTAGGGTGTCAGTGTTTCCTGTCAAAATTCAAGTAAAATTTATGTCAATTCCATCAAGGTTCACACCACTTAGAATACTAGAAAGTTCTTCTAAAAATATTTTTAGTATAGTTTATTGAATAAGTATACCTTTGTCACCTACTAATTTTTATTCTCACATTTTCAAACATGAAAAGCACTGAGATGTTCTTCTTTTGAAGAGATACAAAGCTTACTGTTTATTCTAACAACAATGAACAAATTGCCAGAATTTAACACTTACAATAGCATGATTAAGTCTCAGACTAGAAAATTTCGATTAAGACTTATAAAACCTTTGGCTTTTATCATGTTCATTCAAGTCAGAATAGACCAGGAATAATAATTTCTGTAAAAGAATATGCATTAATAAATGATGTCCAATTCTTGCCTGTGTACCGTAGATTTCTTATTTTCCATGAGTACTTGTTATCACTAAATCGTGAAAACATTCGTTTTGCAAGGGGATGTTAGATCAAGATATTTTACATACGTAGATTTCAGTACCATAAAAATAAAAGCAGGTAATTTGACTATGCAAGTGGTATTATTTGTGAAATTATTTATTATTTATTTGATTTCTCATGTAGGAATTCATAAAAACATATATTGCAATGCTAAATTTTTACTCTAGAAACCTCATCAAACTGAAGTTTTGATATGATTGTGCAGCCCTAATGATTAAGACATATTGACATTTTTTTTTTAAACAAACCTTCAAATTCCATTTTATCTGCCACATACTGTGTTCCTGCCTCGTTGGGCATGTCCACCACTCTACCCTTCATCATCTCGCCCCCCATCATGATCATAACATTAGCTTTTGGAGTACTACCCATCACCATACACGACGGGCCATACATTCCTGGATCGACCTCAATACGGTGCGGAGCTGGATTGTTTTGGAGTGTGAGGGTTTCTGAGTGGGACTGGTCAAACTTGAAAGTCATTGAAGTGATTGGTTCTGTAAGAAAAGTCAGACATATTTCATTTCAAGTGGAGAAATGCAGTAACAATTAAATGGTATTTGAAACCTCCTACTGCAGTAAAACTCATATTCTATAATTGCAATAAAGATATCATGCCTCCTTTAACTTCATAAAAAAGGGTTAATCTAGGCAAGTCCTTTATTTAACATATTTAAATTAAAACATTCCAGCAAATTTTTTTTCTCGTATTAATAAAACGAGAAAGCATTTAAATCCCAATTTTAGAAAATGCTATGCAGTTCTTAGCAAAGAGTAAAAATATGTTTTATGTTACTGTCTTAACCTCTCTCTTCAATGTGAATGGTTGCACACTTTTCGGGATTATCCTTACCCCTAATTTTCATGGCTACATACATTTCTGAATTATCCTTATCCCTAATTTTAATGGCTACAGACTTTTCTACACTATCCTGACCTCTGATTTTAATGGCTACACACTTTTCTGGATTATCATACCTCTAATTGTGATGGCAACATACTTTTCTGGATTATCCTTACCTCTTATTTTAATGGCTACAGACTTTTTCTGGATTATCCTTACCTCTAATTATAATGGCTACAGACTTTTTCTGGATTATTCTTACCCCTTACTTTAATGGCTACAGTCTTTTCTGGATTATCCTTACTTCTAATTATAATGGCTACAGACTTCTTCTGGATTATCCTTACCTCTAATTATAATGGCTACAGACTTTTTCTGGATTATCCTTACCTCTAATTATAATGGCTACAGACTTTTTCTGGATTAATTATTCTTACCCCTTACTTTAATGGCTACAGACTTTTCTGGATTATCCTTACCTCTAATTATAATGGCTACAGACTTTTCTGGATTATCCTTACTTCTATTTATAATGGCTACAGACTTTTTCTGGATTATCCTTACCTCTAATTAAAATGGCTACAGACTTTTTCTGGATTATCCTTACCTCTGATTTTAATGGCTGCAGACTTTTTCTGGATGATCCTAACCTCTGATTTTAATGGCTACAGACTATTTTTGGATTATCCTTACCTCTGATTTTAATACCTACAGACTTTTCTGGATTATCCTTACCTCTGATTTTAATGAATACAGACAATTCTGGATGATCCTTACCTCTGATTTTAATGACTACAGACATTTCTGGATTATCCTTACCTCTGATTTTAATGGCTACAGACTTTTCTGGATTATCCTTTCCTCTAATTATAATGGCTACAGACTTTTTCTGGATTATCCTTACCTCTAATTATAATGGCTACAGACTTTTTCTGGATTATCCTTACCTCTAATTATAATGGCTACAGACTTTTTCTGGATTATCCTTACCTCTAATTATAATGGCTACAGACTTTTTCTGGATTATCCTTACCTCTAATTATAATGGCTACAGACTTTTTCTGGATTATTCTTACCCCTTACTTTAATGGCTACAGTTTTTTCTGGATTATCCTTACCTCTAATTATAATGGCCACAGACTTCTTCTGGATTATCCTTACCTCTAATTATAATGACTACAGACTTTTTCTGGATTATCCTTACCTCTAATTTTAATGGCTACAGACTTTTTCTGGATTAATTATTCTTACCTCTTACTTTAATGGCTACAGACTTTTCTGGATTATCCTTACCTCTAATTATAATGGCTACAGACTTTTCTGGATTATCCTTACGTCTAATTAAAATGGCTACAGACTTTTTCTGGATTATCCTTACCTCTGATTTTAATGGCTGCAGACTTTTTCTGGATGATCCTTACCTCTGATTTTAATGGCTACAGACTATTTCTGGATTATCCTTACCTCTGATTTTAATACCTACAGACTTTTCTGGATTATCCTTACCTTTGATTTTAATGACTACAGACAATTCTGGATGATCCTTACCTCTGATTTTAATGACTACAGACATTTCTGGATTATCCTTACCTCTGATTTTAATGGCTACTGACATTTTCTGGATTATCCTTACCCCTAACTGTAATGGCTACAGACTTTTCTGGATTATCCTTACCTCTAATTATAATGGCTACAGACTTTTCTGGATTATCCTTACTTCTAATTATAATGGCTACATACTTTTTCTGGATTATCCTTACGTCTAATTAAAATGGCTACAGACTTTTTCTGGATTATCCTTACCTCTGATTTTAATGGCTGCAGGCTTTTTCTGGATGATCCTTACCTCTGATTTTAATGGCTACAGACTATTTCTGGATTATCCTTACCTCTGATTTTAATGACTACAGACTTTTCTGGATTATCCTTACCTCTGATTTTAATGACTACAGACTTTTCTGGATGATCCTTCCCTCTGATTTTAATGACTACAGACTTTTCTGGATATTCCTTACCTCTGATTTCATGACTACAGACAATTCTGGATGATCCTTACCTCTGATTTTAATGACTACAGACATTTCTGGATTATCCTTACCTCTGATTTTAATGGCTACAGACTTTTTCTGGATTATCCTTACCCCTAACTGTAATGGCTACAGACTTTTCTGGATTATCGTTACCTCTGATTTTAATGACTACAGACTTTTCTGGATTATCCTTACCTCTAATTACAATGGCTACATACATTTCTGGATTATCCTTACCTCTAATTGTAATGGCTACAGACTTTTTCTGGATTATCCTTACCTCTAATTATAATGGCTACATACATTTCTGGATTATCGTTACATCTGATTTTAATGACTACAGACTTTTCTGGATTATCCTTACCTCTAATTATAATGGCTACATACTTTTCTGGATTATCCTTACCTCTAATTGTAATGCCTGCAGACTTTTCTGGATTATCCTTACCTCTAATTATAATGGCTACATATATTTCTGGATTATCCTTACCTCTGATTGTAATGGTTACATACATTTCTGGATGATCCTTACCTCTGATTGTAATGGCTACAGACTTATTAGCTACGAGGTCATCCCTGACCCATTTCCCTCCTTCTTTCACTTGTTTTAACACCTCACAGGTCAAGTTTCCAGCATCTGCCTTCTGTACGTCTAAAATAAATAAAAATAACAAAGGACGTCAGGTACTGGAATAAATCAAACACCAAACATTGTATATTAGTAAGCTTGTTGTGACTTGCTCAATTACAACAAATTTTTTAAAATGTATTTTTTTAAATTGGGTTTCAATTTTCTCTGTTTCAAAATTGAGATTAAAATTCACAAATCATGGTGTATTTTTCATGTTTTTATGTGGTTTTGATATTAAAATCCAAGAAAATTTAGATTTTCATGTTGTATAAAAATGAGAAAGGAAAGAAGTCTCTAACATGTTCTCTAACTATTGATTTATTAGCATTTAAACTTAACACAAGAAACCGATTTTTCCAAGTTTTGCCACATTTTCATTTAAATTTTCGAGTAAAAGGGACCCTTTACCAAGAAGGCCCCATTTAATTTTTTTCCTCCACATTTATTATCCCCGAACTTATGCATTTTAGAAACTCACCCAGTAAGGTAAACTCCAAGCTGATGTTGTTTGCCTGAGGGGAGAGCACACTGCAGGCATACTTGTTTTCTATAGAGGCCTCCTCGAATTCACAGAGACTGGTCAGCTGGCGGCCATTGTGGTACCACCTGACCTTGAGTTTACTGATAATGTCAATGACAGACAGTCCGGGTATGCTACACAGGGCCTTAAGGTTCTCTCCCTTGTTTAGCATGGCTGATGTAGGGGTTAGTGACACGCTATACTCCTGAGTCTGAGCCACTCCTTAAAAAATAACATAATTATTACAACTTTGAAGTTAAGTAATGACATCTGGGTAATGAAGAAATTGCTATATAGATGCAGGCTTCTGATATTTATATAACATAACTACCTGTAGCAGTATGTCTTAAGTAACTTTAACTTTTCTGTATTTACTAATAAATGCATTTACAATTTTACAAAATAGTAAATGTATTTTATTTCTTCAAAAATCTACTGGTTCATTTATAGGCGGGGTAAAAAAATATCACTTGCGTGGCGGGACAGAAACGGGGCATAGAGCACGTGGATGTGCAGATTCAAGACAATGTAAATATTAGGAAAAACTGTCATATTTTGGGGGTTCATGAAGATAAGCAATCAATTGGCTTGCTTGATAATTTGATTCATAAACGGAGATGGACAGAGTTCCAACTAATTTTTACAAAAAAAAATTTAATGTTTACAATTTCTAATAAAGGCAATCCTAATAATCAGCAAATATTTGAACATTATATTGATGATTGATTGTATGTACGTTGCTTAACATTTTAAACTCATATTGAGACGCCACCACTTGCCGGTGGAGAGCTACAAATATTGTCGTATACTCGGCACTTTGGGCCATTGAGCAGTGAGGAATCTTTTTCGAGCCACCACCTACTGCGATACGGGACCTCGGTTTATACGGCCTCATTTGAAGGACCGGTCTCAACGTCCCACAGTGGGATTCGAACCAGCGAGGTGATGATCAACTCCTTACTTCGCTACTCTAGAGCAGACGCTCTGACCGTGCACGGCGCCACGCGGACAACTATCATCATATTGTGATTTACAAGGGAGATGCAGAACTTGAAATTCTTCATACTGTATGCAAAACAAGGCTCGTGCCTTGTTTTGCTTCAACGTAGATAATATCATATTAATAGCAAAAGGAGATTCAGCAAATCACTAGAAACTGTCAAATTGTATTTAAAATTAACTTCTTTATTGAAAAATTCTGCTTTGAGCAAACATTTACTATTTTATTTAACCTTTGTAAACAAAAACATGGCACGGGTCCTGTTTATATAACAACAGTTTGGAGCTTATAAGTGTTTTTATCTAGACAAGTGAAATTCAAATATTTTATTATCATGAGTAATATTTTAGTTAGATAATTATAAACAAAAAATGAATTCGAAGATAAATATACATTAATTACTTGACACATGTTCTAGATGTTTCATTTATCAAACATGTTGTATAAGAAAATTTATGTACAACATCATATCAAAATTTAGCACACAGTTCCTTTAAGTATTTGAACTAGGAATGTCAACGAATAGTCAACTATTCGACTATCAGTCGAATGAACCGACGATCGTATGATGAAACCACATTCGATTATTTAATAAATGTAAGAAATGGAGGTAATGAAGAAATTCTCATTTCAAATTTGATAAAGCGTCATTCCTCAAACCATTAAATAGTACTCGCCCTCAGGAACACAGCTACAGTACATAAAAAAAATTCCGCATTGGAAAGTACAGTTATTACATACAATGATAATTTTTTTCTCAATTACTGACCTCTTTTGTTATTGTAGTATATTATGCAGCGCTATACTGGACTTTGAAAATCATTAATTGGATTTGTACGATATAAATTAATTGATTACCTCTAAGAATGTTCAAATGCTATAAAAACATCTGTTAGAACATGTAGAACATAGCCGTGAAGTTTTGAACTTTAATAATCATTAATACAATTATCTTAAATAGTAAGGACATTTTGATAGCCGGGCTAATAATCATTAATTGAACAAGCAGTATTTGATAATAACACCTATATGTGAATAGTGTGTATTTACCCTTACCCTTTTCCAATTTATTTTAAAATTAAGCTTTAAAAGCGCCGTGCTGACAATTCTCTAAGCGTAAAGTACTAGAATGAAAGAGTGTACATGTGATTTACGAGAATCCATACAATTTGAAAAATTGCTGGTGTAAATCTATTTCATTTCAATGTCTTATCCCTACTTTAATACTCTACATAAATTTACAAGAAGGGTTCTTTATTTATACTCGTAATTACACTATCGATATTTTTTTTTAAAAATGTTCTGAACAGTCGACTGTTGTTCGAATAATGCAATCGAATGTTCGACTAAGGAAAATAAATATTTTGATATCCCTAATTTGAACTCTTCAACTCCAGGGAAAATGACAATAAAATTCAAACCACGTTGCGTATGATATGATACGATCCTTCAGATAAAGTAACTGCTATAATAACATATATTTCATGATACACCAAAGGATTTCAAAGGGCAAAATTCAATTTGCTTGCAATTCTTTCATATTCAAACACCATTTGGAATTTGTTAAATCTGCTAAATTAATGATTAATAATAATTTAATGATTCTAATTTAATAAACTTGATGTAAATATAAGGGCATTTATATTCTATGAATCAACTTTTTTTGTATTCCACCTCTCAAAGTCAAAGTAAATAAAAGATTTTCAATCCGAATTTCAGATTTCAAATAGTTCTTCTAGTTCAAAAGTTACATCCATTTGACCTTTATTGTAACAAAGAAGATGGGCACATTTGGCGAGTGATCTGCAGGAATCATTTGTACGAAACATTTATTGTTTAAATGTCCATGATTTGGTTGGCTGAACATAGCTGGTCAGATTTCACAAACACGTCCATAGGTTTCTTTTTCATTTAGCTTGTGAAATTGTAACAGTTATGTCCGTTTTTCCTAGGGGGTATTATAACATAGTAATGTTACACAAAAAATAAACACCTAAAATATTTAATGCATAGATGTATGATACGTGTACATGTACATTATGAAATATAGAATAGAAGATTAGAATTGATTTCGCTCGAGAACCAAACTGAACCAAAATTTATCTAATTCAAAGTTTTAATATATCAGTACATACATGTAACACGAAACTGACAAAATAAATGGTTGTTTGTATGAAGAAAAAAAAATAACGCCCCATTCCAGGCTCGAACCAAAAGCTTTTCCCTTCGAGTACACTGAACAGGTAGCCCTACTAACTGAGCTATCACCGCTTCACATACTTAGTCGATTTTAAAAGGACAAAAGAGCACCACATTCACACATAAAAAATTTTGGGAAAAGTTCATTTTTCGTGGTCTCTGGGTCTTCTCTCCATTTTTAAAAAGGTGTATTCGTTTCTTTGAATTAAAATAGACACAAACTAGAGGTACTGTGAGCGATGAGCTCACTAAATGATACCCCCCGCCTCCCACATGGTTATAACTGGTGAAAAAGTCCATGTTTTCCTGTGGCCGGGAAACGCAAAATATGTGTCGGATCAAAAAGTAGAATAGGAGGTGCACAATGGCAATATGTAATAAAGATTCTGTGAAAGTTTCATCAAAATTCATTCAGCGGTATGAGAGGAGTTGCGGATAAAGATTACCCCAAAGCGTAACAGACGGACGGATTTTAGACGGAAAAGGATTTTTTTGATTACTATATACCCTCCCGCTTTTCAAGCGGGGGGTATAATAACGTTTCAAAATCATGGAGAGAAGACCCAGAAATAGAAAAAGTATAGAAAAACGTCTTTAAAATGTACCATTTGTACCAAATGTCTTATCTGGCCAATTTTCAAGTTATTTTTTAGCAAATCAAAGCTCAATTTCAAGGAAATATTTTCCTTTCCTGTTGCACAAGAAATTAAAAAAATGTTAAAATTTCATATGACATGTCGATAAATTTTCACTTTTCAATTACGCCCAGATTCCTGCCGAATGCCAATCAAAAGCGCCCTCGTTCTTTATTAGCCCAATTCTGCATTATAATTCGAGAATCAAGAGACCAGAAATCTGAGAAAACATCCGAAGAAGCAAAAAATGAATAAATAAATAAATAAATTCTCTGAAAGTGTTTCTTTTTCCCTCAAAAGTTCAATTGTTAAAAATAAATAAATAAATTCTCTGAAAGTGTTTCTTTTTCTCTCAAAAGTTCAATTGTTAAAAAAACAAAAACAAAAATTTATTAAACTAAGGTATGCTACTAGGAATAATTTATTTTACTTATTTTACAACTAAAAACTTGACTGCAACCAAGTTCATTGAAAATGCTTAAAACATTTTACTCTTTAAACGTTTGACTTTTTCTTACAAACATAAAGTAATTGAGAAAATGATGTACTCACCAATTGCAGATTTCGTTGATAGAAAGATATATAATTGTAAAATAACTACTGTATTGACTGCAAGCAACATTTTAAAGAAGCAGGAATTATAAAATTATATCTTCATGTGAATCATTAGTTGTTTCTATACCTTATCATGAAGCTTTTTATGTACAGTCAGTGAGGAAGGAAAGGACCCTTTCTAAAAATAATCTTCACGTGATATGACCAATGATATTATCTTAAAGTCTATTTTTGCTATGTAGTTGAACAAGATGGTACAGGTTTACAAATTACATCATATTTTTAATATCATTCGAGAATCTATAAGGAGTTTTATACATGTATCATACGTATTTCAAAGAGGAAAATGTACAAAACGAAACTTTAAAAACGACCGGTTTGTTAACTTTTACGAAACAAATTTTGGCCACATTGATAACTGAAGTTATTTAGTCCAATCTGTTTTACGGTTTTACCAATTCCAACATGTCTAAAATTATATACTTATTATAGCTTCAAAACTATGTGGTTTATAAAGTTAAGACTTAAAAAGTTTATAAATGTATCATTGATTAACAGATAGAAAGTATCCATTGATAACAAACATATAGAGAGAATCACTTGAAACAAAAGTAAAACTTAAAAAAATATTCTTTTACGCAAATGGATGTATCCCCCCCACCCCCACCCCTATCCACCCCCCCCCCAAAAAAAAAAACACCAAATTTATTTCATACTTTTAGTGAACGCCATCGCTGAATAAAGGATATAAAATGATGTAAAATATCCTTGAAGGGCAAGTTGACTTCGATAGCCTCTGAAAAAATGTCTTCCCTGTAAATTTTGTTCACATG